CCCTCTACCGTCTCACCTCGTAAGAATCCGAGAGAATCCCAAGGACTTCTCCCCAGGAGCGTTGCGAAGGGGTCTCGGCGACGCTGTTCTTACCGCCCTGTGCGTCCAATGATCGAACATTTATCCGTGTTCGTTGCTTTTGGTGCTCCTTGAACTCGGTGATCCAGAGGCCACAGCAACCTGTACCGATCGTGCTGCCAAATCCCGACAAACAATCCAAAATGGAAACCAACCTCATTTTTTTTCTTTTCTCACACTCCCATGCCGACGTGCCCTCGGACGTGCCTCGAAGGCAGCGAGTTGGTTCGCTACGCGTCGCCAATGGCGCCACGGCCGTCTAGAGGATGAGGCCCGCGAGGCCGCAGTCCTGCAGTCGCGTCCGAGGCCATCGCTGCACGGCCACGGTTGCCACGGGGTTGCCACGGCCATGGCCATGGGCTTCTTCTTGAGGTGGGCAGCCACCATCCTCTGCACCTGCTTCGCTCTGACGGTGAGTGCAGCAGACTGGCTCAGTGCATAGGCACGGCCACAGCCCTGGTCGTGTTACCGCAGGCAAGAGCCCAGTCTGATTCCGACCAGAGTCACGCTGCCTCTCGCTCTCATGGGGCGTTCCACACGGCTGCGAGAGAGGCAGAGCGACGAAATGCGTTGCGCTTGCCAGTTCGCCACCACGCTCTCTTCCAGGTTGTGCTGGACGCGGCAGCCGCCTCGGCGCCGTGCCTGAAGGGCAGGGCTGGCGCCACGGCGACGGACATCCTGGCCGACGACTGGGCCTGCCACTCGGCCTGCGCCGCCCGGAAGAGGAGCAGGCACTGCGCGCTGTGCTGCCCCCGCTGGCTGGGCGGCAAGGGTGCCGACGGTGAGGCAGGGCAGCGCTGGGTAGGGTGGTGTAGGGACCCTCTTTGTGATCCAAGGGCGGTGCGGTGGCGGTGGCGGCGCACAGGTCAGACAAAGAGGTCGTACAAACGATATAGACCCGCAGTCGGGAAGGGGGTCGAGCTTTTTGTCTACTCACAGTCGCTATGCAATGCAAATACGATCTCATACACGTCAGGAGTCTGTTTCAAGGTGGAGAGGTGTGTGTAGGGGGGGGGGGGGGGACAACCGTCCCATCCCCGTCGCTGCCGCTACGCCACTGGCAGCAAAGTCCTGCGCCCCCTGCAGCACCTCAGCTCAAGATGTTGCTTTCTGCCCCCAGTGACGCCGCGGACGGTGTCCAGACCGGAGGAGGCCGCGCCGGAAGGCGGCGGCGGTACAATGGAACCGGAAAACGGAGGAGGCGCACAAGAGGCGGCCGAAGACGGCGACGTCGAGGTGCGCGAGGAGCGGGCCGCCGTGGAGGCTAAGGCTCTCTGAGGCTCGCTGGGGCTGTCGCCGGCCGGAAGAAAGGGGGGGGGGGCGACCTCGTTTCCCAGTCTCGTTCGACACGTTGCAACAGCGAGCAGCATTATCCAGCACGATGATCGTGCGCGAGAAGGCCGAGGCGGGCTCGTCTCGTCTTATCCGGTCTTATCTCCGGAGCCTCAGAGCAGCCAGCACAGCCAGCAGCCCCTCGGCCAAGGGGGGCTGACTCTCCCGAACCGTGTACGAAGTATTATATATTATAGGTATTATAGAGTATTATAGGTATTATTCCAAATATTATATCCAGATAATTGTGTCGTTGTAAGTGGTTTTCCGTATACCAAAGGTTTCCAAAATACGCAAGCAAGTTGAAAACAAGGATTCCGGCTCGCGCTCCTGGGCCTCAAATTATTATACAGCGCATCTTTAAGAGCCTCAGCACCAAGTCATTTCTCTCAGCGCCATTTTCTTACTCTAACGTTCCGTCTAGAAATCTCTGAACGCTTGTTCACCACAATTTTACACAACTTTCTCATTTTAAAACCAAAAACTGCACAAAATGTACGGCATTTTTTGGTATTATGGATTATAGTATTATTCAAGTATTATAGGGCTGTGTACGAAGTATTATAGGAGTCAGCCCCCCTTGCCCTCGGCCGGCGGGGCGCCACGCTGCGCTGGGCCACTGGGCCCTCGGCGGCACCGCCGCGTCGCACCCCGCCGCACCCCACCCCGCCGCTCTCACCCCAGCGCACCCCAGCGCTGCCGAAGATGAGAAGAGCCGGCCGCGCTGAACAAGATGAGAGGGGGTGGGCCGCACAAGCGCCGAGGAAGCAGCATTCATGCACTCTGCAGCTCAAACAATGTCGTTTGCGGCGGCACGGCCGAAGCTCACTGCTTTCTCTCTTTTCTCTCTCGTTTTTCCTTTCAGCGCGGCTTATGTTTTTATACGGCGGGCGAAATGGTGTGGGGAAGGCGGAGGGCGGCGGTGGAAATGAGTTCCGCTAACTCAGCCGCCTCTGAAGAGCTCACAGCGCGGTGGGGTTGTCCCCCCCCCCTCTCTGACAGGATGAGTTCAGCACTTGGCTGCAGCAGCAGCAAGCTGGGCACCAGCCGGCACGGCGGGGCTGGCAGGCAAGTCAACGTGTCTGTCCTTTTTCAGCCCCTGCTCCGCTGCAGCGCGCTGTTGCCGCAATCCTGCCCTTCACACCCCCGTCACACACCGCCGCCAAGCTTTCCAGCTCCGCGCTGCAACTACTTAGCGCCCCCCCAACCCCTTTCGCTCCGGATGCCGGACCGGATGCGGGACCGGGCCCGCCCTCCGCGTCTGCTCCCCTCACCTTTCACTGGGGGAAATAAAGTCAGGCAGGGCCCGGCAGGGCGGACGGGCGGCAAAGTCGGCTCGAGCGCCTCGATCGCCCCCCCAGCCCTCAACCCTTCGGACCCCCATCAGCCCATCATCCCTTCAGCGCTTCGCCCTCAGCGAGCGACGCGACAAACAGCGCCATAATTCTCTTCCCCGCCACAGCAGGGGAGCACGGCGGCAGCACGGCAGCACGGCAGCACGGCAGCACGGCAGCACGGCAGTACCGCTTAAGGTTCGCGCTGTGCCGGCTAAGTTGTCATCATGGGTGCCACATCAGACAGACCCGCACTGTTATCCTGCTTTGGCATGATGTTGGCTGGTGTATATTCCCCGGGGCCTCTCCCTCCCTTTCCCAGAATAAAGTCGTATCAGTGAACCGAGGAGTCCTCTGTACTTACGTAACCTTGAGCCACGCAGTAGCTACAAGGAACGCCTTGTCCTTGTCGCGTCCTCCCCCAGTTCTCCAAACATTTGCGTGCCGACGGCACTGCGGCCAGATTCCGGACAGAGCCCACATCGCTCTGTCTCTCTCGCGCCCCTGGGGGCGCCCCATGCCGAGCGCGCGAGAGACAGAGCGACGAAATCCCTGTTCGGTCTCCCTTGCGGTGTCCCGTTCCGTGAAACGCCGCGTGGCTTTGCGACTCGGAGCGGCTGAGTAAATGCACTCTGTCTGTCTGTATGGGACTAGGAGCGTGTTGTTGTGTGGAGATGACACGACGCGCCGCCAAACGACCCTCTTATGGCCTGCCGCGGTATAATTCAACCCTAAATGTGGATCGGATCCAGTGGGAGTGCGAGACGCGACGTCTCTGGGGGCGTGGCTGCATGAACAGTGCAAGATAGCTTGGTGCGACGTCCGTCCAGTGTTCAGTGGCGGATCCAGAGCCGAGGCCGAGGTCAGAGAAGAAAGGGGAGGGGGAGGTACACTTTTTGCCTATTTATCAGGTGGCTGTCTAGAAGCCGGGGAGGGGGAGGGTCGTACTTCCGCTAAAACCGCACTTGCGTTCACTGGAAACCCATGTACTCACTAAGCACTTGAGTTTTCAGTGTGCGCTCAGGTGCACTAAAGGCGGGTCCCCTGGGATGCTCCCTGCGATGCCCCCTGCGATGCCCCCTGGGATTCGCCCCCTGGTTTGCCCCCGGGCCGCCCCCGAGGCCACAAAGCGCCTCTCTGCCGCCAGTGCGCTCCCCAGGGCAGGCGTCCTGGCCGTTCGGGCCGTGCAGGCCGGGAGCGAGCCGAGGGGCGCGGTCGGCGCGGCCTAGCGCGGCCATGGCGCAGTCGCGGCCGGGAATTGTCTCTCGGGGGCGGTTACGTGAGCCGCCCGGGGACGGCCTCTTGGCGGGATGACTTTCCGAGGGTCGCCTTTCTCCTGTTGACGCAATCATGCGACGACTCGGCTCCGCAGTGATTACACAATAAGGCGCCTCGTCCCGTCCACGGCCAGTCCACGCCAGTCCGCGCCAGTCCACGGCGCGGACCGCCCTCGCCGTTCACTCCGGCAGCGTTTGGTTCCTCCGTCGGCGACCCGTGAGTCCAGCTGCCACGCTGCTTGCCCTCTCGCGCACCTCCGCGAATCCGATCCGCGGCATTGGCGGCATGCCTGCCCGGCCACGCAGGCAGGCGGAGCGAGGTTGTGGGTTCGGAGAACTGGACATCGCGAGCGAGGGTGGAGGTGGGACCAGCAAGGACCAGCGAGGACCAGCAGGGACCAGCGAGGACCAGGAAGGACCAGCGAGGACCAGCAAGGACCAGCGAGGACCAGCAAGGACCAGCGAGGACCAGCAAGGACCAGCGAGGACCAGCGAGGACCAGCAAGGACCAGCGAGGACCAAGGACCAGCGAGGACCAGGGAGGAACAGAGAGGAACAGGGAGGTGGGAGAGGTGGGAGGAGGTGCGGCCTCCGGACCACAGCGCCGCGGCCGCGTGCTAGGGGCGGTGGGGCTCGACACGGCGCCCCTTCGCACCCCGACCCACTGGGGCAGCGGGGGGCATGGAAGTGGGGGCGCGGGGGGCGGCGCGCGGGCCACGGGACGGGGGGGCGACCCGGGCTGCTATCCCTGGGAGCGGGCGGTCGAGGGCACGGCGCGGCGCGGTGGAGAGGGGGTGTGGGGGGTGGCGGCGCGGGGTGGGTCCGGGGTGGGGTTTGTCTGCGCGGGGCCTCCGGAGGGGGCGGCGACGGGGTTGCTCCGATCCGCTGCGAGCCGCTCCAGCCAGTTGCACCCCAGCCTGCCACAGACACGCGCCTCAGCCAGGCCGTCGCCACGCAGCGCCACGCAGCGCCACTCCATGGCGGCGCGAGCGTCAGGGCGCCGCGCGCGTGACAGCGTCACGGCGTGACGGCGTGACGGCGTGAACCTTGCGGGACCCGTGCCACTGCACCAGGTAAGTGGGCGCGTCTCGCATTCCTTTGGGCAACCACGTGACGGTGAGAGGTGTGACTGGCTGAAAGTGAGACAGGTGTTGGACCGTGACAGCGTGAAAGCGTGACAAAGTGACGGGGCGTGACGTCACCAAAAGGATGTTGAGACAAAAGCGTGACCGTGTGACAGGGCAAGCGTGAGAGCGCCAAGCAGGGGTCGCCGCGTGACAGTTTGATGGTGTGAGTGTGACAGTGCAAGTGTGACAGAGAAAGTGTGACAGTGTGACAGCAACCAAGGAAGGCGGCACGGCGGTGTGACAGGTCACACGTGCCATTGTGCGAGGGCGTCAGTGTGCCAGCGAGACCGAGAGCGAGACAGGGTGACAGGGCCGGCAGGGCAGTGCAGGGCACAAGCGAGAAAGCGCCTTAGAACAAAAGCACCGTAATTTCAACTACATGCATGGGTACTTCAACTGCAGTGAGGTGTATTTTCCTCTCTCGAAGTTTGTTAGAACGTCATCTCCTGAAACCTCTCTCCGTGAAGGCCACTCCTGTGGCCTGGCCCTGGGCCCCTAATTCAATCAAAGTGATGAGGCTGCCCCTGCCCAACGCTCCAGCCCGAAATGCAGCATGGATGACGATGCGGGTCCTCCTTACAACCTGGTCAGTGTTCCCCGGAGGCTAACTGCTCGCGCAAAATGCCACACTTTTTTGAAAGTTTATTCGCTGATATTTGATTATATTTGTACTCTGCTGCAGCGATGTAGCTGTAAAGATGGGGCCACTTATAAATTTGTCAAAAATTTGTCGCATAGATTAAGTCAAATCAGCCAGCATGTAGAGAAAATTGTAAACCGGACATTTTTTTTCCCTAATTCAATCCTTCTGCTTGATCGATTCGGCAGTTTTCCTCGTGGGACGCATGCGACGCGTGGGAAGGGGAATGGGGTCACAGCTTGCCGCGATGCGTTTGGAGCGGCGACGCGCTGGGCGACGCGCGGCGGCGAGGAAGCAATGTGTGATTAGCCTGCGGGAGGTTGGGCAGCTCATCAGGCGGCAGCGCGGCAGCGCGGCAACGACACAGCGCGCCGCGGGGCGTGGCGTGGCGTGGCGTGGCGTGGCGTGGCGTGGCGTGGCGTGGCGTGGCGTGGCGTGGCGTGGCGTGGCGTGGCGTGGCGTGGCGTGGCGTGGCGTGGCCGCGTGACGTGGCCGCCCGGGGCCGCGGATCCAGTTGTGCTGTAGCTCGAATTCGACACGTGACACGATTGTGGTCCAAAGCAGGCCTCCGAGGATACAACGGCGCGACAGGCCTCGCCCTCCCCCAGCGCCGCGGTGACGGTGGCGGCCCCTCTTCAACTAGTTAAACACGACTCTCCGCTCGCAACATTCAATTACATAAACTGGCGGACCGCCGTGCTGGCGTGCTCCCCACCGGAGCCTGTGCCGCCACGGCACGCCCATTACGGCCTCGGTTTTCACACTGGGGTGCATTGGGGTTGAACAGGCGGGGCCACAATACGCACAGTCAAATCAGCCAATGTTGGAGAAATGGTCAACACGCTGGGAGTGTGTGTGTGTGTGTGTGTGTGTGTGTGCGTGCGCGTGAGTGTGTGCGTGTGTGTGTGTGTGTGCGTGTGTGTGGTGTTTGCGACGGCAAGTCGAGCGGAAGCGCCGGGTGGTCGTCATTGGCATCGTGATATGCTCGTCGCCGACGGGGTCCTCGAGGCCCTCGAGCCACGCTGGCAACTGCATCCGGCTTGATATTGCCCATGGTTGGCTTGCCCCCCCCCCCCCCCGTCAATTCGTTCCGCTCCGGCGCGATATCGACGGTGGGGCGTCGTGAGCGCGTTGGATTGCCACGCAGTGCTGCTTGTATTTTTTGGATTGTCTCGGACCGGGGGGGGGGGGGAGGCGCACGACGCGTCGCACTGCTGAGGTACGCCGACTGGCCACTGAGTCGGTGGAGAGGCAGAGCAGGCAGAGCCCCGCAGGTGAATCGGTCTGATTTCGAGGATGATTCCGATGACTGATCGCAGTGCCCCAGTCGGCGCGGATGGCGGATCAAGTGGCGCCGGCCACCGTTCCGCCGTTGCGGGCACTGGGGGCACCGGGGCCAGGGGCCGGGGGCCGCCTGGCGTCCTCGTGGCCGCTTGTTTCCAATTAGTGTCTGATTCAGTGCTGCCGGCCAGGCACTGCCACAGGGCAGGCAGGGCAGAGCGAGCCCCCCAGGCACAACCAGGCAGAGCTGCGGGCAACGGACAGTCGCGTCGCGGCCAGCCAGCGCACCAACCAACCAACCAACCAACGACTTGGTCGGGCTTGGTGACGAGACAGGGCCAGACAGCAATCAGTCGCAATCAGTCAGTGTTCCGTTCCGCTTTTCTTTGGCTTTTCGTTGTTTCGTTGTTGCCCCACCAGCCCGGCCCCACCCCGACGCACATAAAGTCTATTTGGTGGCCCTCCCGGGAACGACCTGAAAATGAGCCGCACCGCTGGAGCGGAGAATGGGGGCCGACGGGGAGGCGGCGGCGAGGACGCGAGGACGCGGCCAGCCCAGGATGATGAATAGCGAGACCGCGGGGCGGGGCGGGGCGGGGCGGGGCGGGGCGGGGGCAGGGTGAAGACAGCCGCAGCGGCCCCCGGACCCAGACGGGGCGGGCGAGCCGGATGAGGAAGTCGAGCGGCGAAGCAAGTCAAGTCGCAAAATGCGCTGCGCTGCGCCGCGCCGGCCGCACTGCTCGCAGGCCGCTCCCTTTCCACAAAGGGGTCACGTAGTTTGAACAGCGGTCCCTCGGGAGAAAAGCCTCACCGAGTCGGGGCGGGGCGGGGCCTCGTTGTTTGAGCAAAGCAGAAAAGCAGATATTGCCCCCGTCCCAGCATCTCTTCAATCCGATCCCGCCCACCTGGTCCCTGGTCGTGTTGCGAGGAAGACTGTCTTCCGCAAAGACACATTCAAAGGAAAGGAGAGCCCCAGCCCATTACTATCGAACTCGGGTCGAATGGAAATGGTACAAGCACACACCAACATTCACGGCTGACTATCGCTTTGTTTATACCAAGGTGAACAGGCGATAGACGAAAGGCCTGCATCGCCGTCGATACAATTTACAGTAACTCAAAAGTCATGCATTCGAAACGCTAAGGACAAATTTAAATTTAAACAAGGCACGACGGTGTACGCCGGAAAACATCCTAGTGAGCTTAGCTTCATGCATATTTCGCTAATTCTAGGCAAATTCTATGGTTGGTGCCTTCATTTTTTTTCGTAATTATGGAGTCGGTCCTGAAGTTGATAGAGGAGTGTGTAGGAAGTTTTTGCGAGGGGTCGGGCTCAGAATGTCCATGTGATGAACACTCAAAAAGGTTATGTGGCCCAGGGGTTTGGCGGACTTTGAGCCGACAAACGAACGTGCAAGCACTGCAAGAAAACGTTTTCAACAGATGATACCTTGCAGTGGTACTTGCCAGCTTCCCGTTAATCAATTAAAGCTCGAGTCTGGCAACCCAGCAAGCGCAACCCAGCAAGCACCAACAAACTTTCGTGTGTGTGTGTGTGTGTGTGTGTGTGTGTGTGTGTGTTTTTCGCCGAAAGGTCCCGTTTCAAACCAGCAAAGGCAAATACAATCAGAAAAAAAAAGAACCTCATAAAAAACTCACAAGGTGGGTGCACCGAGTGCGCAGCATTCGAGGAAGGGGTCGGTGGTGTCTTTTTCGTCCAGCAAACATTCTCTTCCGAGAAGCCTCGCTGACTTTATATTCCACGCGTTCCGAAGCGCGCTACTCCGTCTGCTTCCAGAGCTGGGTCCTCTGCGAGGCGGGCGCCCAGCAAGCAAGCTGAAAGGGGGAATAAGCGCCACTGAGAATTGAAGAGGTGCTTATCATGGCTGGAATGATGGGCGATGCCTGATGAATTGGCCATGATCATCACCTCCATCTTTTATTCTGAGAGCAGCGGCAAAAACGGCTTCTTGTTTTCCCAGGTAGCCAATTGTAAAGACACAGGCGATTCCCAGGGAGTTCCTTGGCGTTCCTTGGTAGACCAGGAACCGTTTTAACCGTGTGGTGTTGAATCCACTCTCATCCTAGTATTTTCTTTTCTGCTTTCTTTTCGGCGCGCCTCTGCGGTCCGCAGCGGGGAGCCCCTGCCGTCGGGGAGATAGCCTGTCCCGCGAGGCGGCGCGGCGCGGCGTGCTGCCTAGTCTCCCTGCTCTCAGGCGATTGCGATTGCCATTAATGGCTGGACCACAAATGACCGTCTGCCTTTCGGGCCCACCCCGCCATGTCGGCGATTCACCAGCACGTGACGGTTCGTCCCCACTGAGAGGAGTGGTTTTCTCGGACGCCCACAGAATCGCTCTGCGGCCAGCAGTGCGCAGCGCGAGGCGCGCGGCCGCCTCAAGGCAGCACCGCTCCGCACCGCCCCTGCCCGGCCCTCGGCCCGGCCTCAAAGCGACCCCGGCTCGTCGTGGCCGCCCCGACAGCTGTTGCTCCGCAATCTCGTGATGCCGCCAACGCGACGCTGCGCGACGCTGCACCCCGCTGGCACACTGGCAAACCCAGAGCCCAGCTGACGGCCCGACGGCCCGCACGCAGGGGGCGGCCGACTGCTCTGAAGAAAGTTCTCGCGAAAAATAAAATATCGCGTGAAACAATCGTTTGCGCAGGAAATGAAATTGAACAAAAGTGCGGAGCAGGCTGAGGCTTTGGCCCAGGCCCGTGGGACTCGGTGTGCGCGCGAGAGTGTGTTGTTGGGGGGGGGAGGGGGGGGAGGGGGGGACTCTCCACCGTGCCGTAAAGCCAAGTCTGGAGGAGGAGGGGTTGGGTCGGGCCTTGGCCTGCCTGCCTCTGGACCGCGACTCGCCAACTAGGTCGCCAACTGTCAAGCAGGACGGCGTGCATTTGAATTCCTGACACTGTGTGCCGATGCCGGGCAATGTTTGAAGTGGCGTGCCGGGCGGCGCTGACCGGAAGGGCGTTGCGCTCATCGCCTTGCTCATCGCCCGGCCTGTGAGGTGAGGCGAGCCAGGAGGAGGCGCCCAGACGGCGGCATTTGCGAAGCGAGCTTCCGCTCGAATTTCCGCTTGCTAGCTTGCGCGTGTTTGACGTAATCTCCAACCGTAGGCCACAGCGTCGGCTGCGGTGGCCGCGCCCCGGCCGCAAGGCTTGCTTTCTGTGTTCACCCCGAAAGGCTTCCTCATTGCACGGCAGGGCAGAATGGTTCCTGATTTTCTCAGGTAGCGTAGTAAAGACAAAGTCCCTGGGAAAGCCAGGGGCCATTTTCGCCGTGTTACTTGCCGGGAATCGGAGCGGAATCCCTGCAAGATCCGAGGCTTGCGTAACCCCTTCCTTAACGAACTTCTCTGTTGCAGCCCCGGGCAGCAAGGCGGCTGGGCGGCCCGGTTGCAGACCCGGTTGCAGACCCGGTTGCAGAACCGGTTGCAGAACCGGCCCGGCCATGGCGGTGGGCTGCGGGACCAAGTGTGCCAAGAGCATCCTCATCTCCTTCAACATGCTGTTCTGGGTAAGTGCCGACACGACAATGTGACGTCCTGCGCGCGGCCTGCGCCTCTCTCTACGATCCCATCCCTATCCTGCTCAGCTCTCGGGGGGCACCCTGCTGGTGCTCGGCGCGTGGGTCTTCCTGGACCCGGCCAAGGCGCACCTGTTCCACCTGGTGTCCGCGTCGCAGGCCAAGCGTGACGTCATCTACTACCTGGCCTACGCGCTGCTGGCCATCGGGGGCTCCATCTTGGTGATCGGCTTCTGCGGCTGCTGCGGCGCGCTGCACGAGCGACGCTGCATGATCGGCACGGTCAGTGAGGCGACTGGCGACGAACCGCGACGAACGCGGATGCATTTGCGACCCTTGACGTTGACGCTGTTCGCAGTACGTCGTGTTCCTGCTGTTCCTGGTGGCGGTCGAGATGGGCGTCGCCGTGATCACGTTCGTCTTCCGGGAGGAGTTCATGGAGGGGCTGGAGGCGCGCCTCAGCGACCAGCTCGTCAACAAGTACGGCCTGGACATCGCCAACCACTACGAGAGCAACAACGTCGCCAACAAGGACTTCACCACGTCGGTGGACTTCGCTCAGTACCGGGTGAGGGTCCGAAAGCGATGCCAAGGCAGTGCCAAGGCAGTGCCGAGGCAGTGCCGCCCCCGTGACTCGTCCAAAGCCTTGATTGCCTGGTTGGTTGCAGTTCAACTGCTGCGGCATGCGCAACGACTCGGACTACCAGCAGACCAAGTGGTGGGCGCGCGGCCGCGAGAAGGCGGGGCAAGCCGAGCGGCCGAGGAACGTGCCGCTCACCTGCTGCGTGCTCTCCAACTCGGAAGTGAGTCCAAGAGCTTACAAACTTTGCTCATTTTCGGAGAAAGCCCCCACGGCCGGGCTCTTTAGACGAAGGGAAAAAACCGCAGGCAGACTTTTCGTAAGCTTTCCCTGATACACTGATGACGGGGTGACAATTTCACAAATTCCTATAAATTCCGCACTGGCGGAAAATGTTGCAGAGTACTCAAACCACCTCAAATTCGCAGTAGTCTTATTTTAGTCAGTCGGTTTCGCATGTCTGCATGCTGTTAGAATAGGCCTCAAGTAACCTTCTCTGTTAACACTTAGATATTTTTCCCACACACATTTCTACGTCTGCCTACTCACATTATTTTCATTCTAGCCCTGACCGTGCACTCTTTATAGAACGATTCTTTACATAGTGGAGGGAGACCATCAACCATATTGCCTTAGTGGCATGCGAGCGAAATGCATTGTTCTAACGCGGTAAATGCAACTCATGGCTGAAAATCAATTTGGAAGAATCTTCTGGTTTTTGGCTAACCCGGCGGTAGTGGAACTAGCCCAACTTCCTCCATTCTGCCGATTGCATGTGCCATGATAGATGACAGGATCTGCTTCTTGCACTTTACCATTACTTCCAGACAGACACCGCCGCCGCTAAACTAAGCTAAAGACTAAAACTAGCCGTGCTTAGCCGTGACACGGTGGATGTTTCGATGCTGATGAAACTTGGAGGGCAAGCAGAAGCAAGGTAAGAACCCTGCCGGCTGTCGGAAAAGAGAGCCCAGTCGGATGCGAGCCGAACCGCGCCGAACCGCGCCGAGTGGACTGGCCGAGCGGACTGGCCGAGCGGCCGCCGAGTCGAGCGGGTAGGCAAGCCGAGGCGAGCCGAGGCAAGCCGACGCAAGCCGACGCAAGCCCGCACGACGGCGTCGGCCAGACGGGCGGGCCGTCAAAGCCTCAGGGGCGGAGCGCGGAGCGGCGACGCCGACGAGAAGCTGTGTCTGTGGTTGTTCTTTCTTAAATAATTGACTAACTAACTCCTTTCTTTGTGCCATTGCATCGCCTGAAGACCATTCTTCTTAAACCGTTTCCTGTCTGTGGTTCTTGGCCGAATAAGACATGAGTTCCTCTTTGGCCCACAACAGGTGTCACAGACTGGAAGTCCCATTAGCGTAGTTTCGCGGTCTTTCCACGGAACCGTGAGTAAACTTCTTTTTATTGCGTTGTCGGCGCATGCCTGCCTCCGGGCTCGCCTTGGGCGGCCTTGGGCCTTCGGGCGTCACTGCTGTTCATGAGAGTCAAAAGATTGGCAGAAAAGTTAAAGGACGGGCCGATGCTTGAAGAGCTTTCCGCCGCATGGAAACGCATCCACGACAGACGCGTGGACCGGCGCTTTGACTTAATTCGTTCTTCACGCAGTGCTGCACCGCATCTTGACGTGTTTTCGCATGCCTTGTTGTGCACGTCGTCCCGTCTCTGCGTGGTCTAGAGAACATGTTAGTGCATGCCCCAGTATTCATCTTTTTCCCCCATGAGAGCAAGTAATTGGGTGAGGAGTGTGCTGTGTGATTGCCTTGTGTGGCTGGGCCGTGGCTGGGCCGTGGCTGGGCCGTGGCTGGGCCGTGGCTCCAAGCCCAGCGTGTCCATTAGGAGCGCGCCCGATTGCTTTGTCCAATTAGGTGTTTCCTGTTTTCCCATTTCTGTTTCTTTTGTTTTAGTTTTATTTCCTCGTAAAGACCTTTGAGACGGTGCCATGAAACCAAGCGAAACCGCTTCTCTTCTTATTGTGTGCGGCTTGCTCTTCCACCCTCGGAGCATCGGGAGCCACTAGTGCCGCGACTGCCCCGCATAACGCTTTGCAAGTTCTCTGTGTTGGGCAACGCCGAACTGAGCCGGGAACGACGAGAGAGGAAAACAAAGCGTGTGTGCGGGAGCACCTTGACCACCTTGGCTCGGGTTGGGGGCAGGGAAAGGGGGAAGGGGCTTCGTTCACGTGTTCTGAGAGCACGGAAAAAGCGTCAGCAGCGACGCGCGGGCTGTCAGTCGAGACCCCGTCCTACCCACCCCATCCCCCGCATCCCGGACGTCCGGGAAGGGAGTCAAGTAAGTCCGACGACGACGCGGCAGGTCCAGGCGTCTCACCGCACGCGCCTTGTTGCAGACTGAAGAGCCGTGGCAGAGCCCGCAGCCCAAGCAGGAGCAGGCGTGCCAGGACGACAACCCCCGGGTCCACGAGCGCCTCCGCTACAAGCAGGTGAAACTTGGCTGCACACTGCACGGTCCCGCGCCCTGAGAGGCCGCCGCGCCGCCACGCGCTGGGACTGACTGTGCTGCTTGGCTGCTTGCAGGGCTGCCTGCTGGAGCTGGTGCTGTGGTTCCGCCGCGAGAGCACCGTGCTCGTGGCCTGCTGCACGTCCATCGCGGGGCTGCAGCTGCTGGGCGTGGTGCTCTCCCTCTGCCTGTGCCGCAACATCGCCGAGGACGCGTCGGCCTAGCGGATCGCCGCGGACGCCGATGTGGAGCAGTCCCGCCACCAGTACCCGATGCGGCACTTGGGCCCCGACTGAACCATCAACCATCGTGCGTCCGCGCCTTTGTCCGCGCCCTTGTCCGCGCCTCGGCTGGAGCCTGGAGCCTCGAGGGCCGGGGCCGGCCTCCCCGACAGAGACTAGAGACTCCACCATCAAGTGCCAGAATGAGGAAGGGCGCCGTGCGCGCTCCCCTGTAGGCAAGGCGCGTCGGCGCTTTAACCGAACTTATTTTGAGTGTTTAGGGTTTTCAAACTGTTATGTATGGAGACATGACGATCTGCTGTCTTTGTTTTCAGAAATCTTTCTCTGGATTTGGCCCTTTTCTTTTAACGTTTGAGCATCAACAACCGTTTCCTCTCGCCGCCGAGGATAGGCTCAGGTGCGCATCCAGCATCCAGGACTCTTGGTGGCGCTTATTGCCCATTGGCAGGGGCAAACTAGTGCACAGATTTGTGCCTACCTTCAGGCGGTCTGTCCAGTACCCAAGGAGGGGGTAATCACCCCAATGAAAGCTGCCTGGATCCGCGCCTGGACAGGCTTGTCCTCTCATTCTCTTTGGCCCCACAATGATCGCCGTGTCCGCAGCCAACCAGTCCGTCGTCCCGTCGTCTTTGGGAAGTCCTGGGACTGAGAGAAGCTCGCCGTCGTCGAGCCACCTACTCTTTCATCGAGTGTCAACATCATTTTCCTGTGATCTATCATTTAAAAAAAAAACTTTTTTTCGTCCATGTCTCGGTACGTCCTTTGTAGGAGATTCGTGTTAGTGAGTGAAAGAATGAGTGAGTGATTATTGTTAGCATTAAGATTATGAATTTGAATTGAACAATGTGATAGGCAAATAATCAATGATCCAATCTTCTCAGGCTTCACGCCTCTGATGATTATGATCGGACTGCTGCACAAACACCACCCACCAAAACAGTTGGCCCACTAGCACTCTTTGTGGGGTATAGTGGTGCACTCAATGCTAGATTTGTAGACGGAACTTTGTGAGTCGGCGTTGGGCAAGGGTAATTTATTTTGCTACTAGAAAACCAGTTTCCTGATATAAAACCGAAAGTCACAATTAAATCAGGCAGGCAGTGTTGGAAACAAAAAAGAAGTCACAAATAGTGACTTTTGATTTCGTATGGTGGATTAGAGTTTCATTTCATCACAATGACTGTGGGAGAATACTGCAGTTGAGAAGTAGAGCTGTAATAGATTTTAAGTAATTTTGCAATTTACTGGTGAATGAAATTGTAGCTTTAACAATAGTTTCTGGGGACATGTAATGGAGGATTTTGGACTACTTTGTGTCTTAATGTCAACAAATCCATTTCTTTCAAATATGGGTAGTAAATATGACAGCAAATAAGTGCTGATATTGTTTATTTCTCATAAATTTCGATTCCATACTGTGAACCATGACACATTTGTGCAGTAAACCTCACTTAAAGCAGCAGCATGCCAGAGATTGGGACTAGATTCAACAGGGTAGTATCCACACACACTTGAATAGGATTCACAGTAGTGAAAGATTACCCATTTCTTCACTTAGAAAAATAGTGTTCTCAATTAATAGTGAAAGTAAGGAAACCATCTACATTCAAATTTGATTCACTTCTACATCTTCCTGCTACCTGTACAGTAACATCACATAAAAATAAACCATGTTGTAAAATTGTACAATTATGTGCATTGCACTCTGTTAAATAAAATCAAACATGGAAAACAGGTAACAAACGGTTTGTAATGTTACGTGAGTGAACTTCCACATCTTTTCATATGTTCTTCCCCGGCAAAATCAAGCAAAATTGTTGCTAATGAAAAGCTGCACGAAACAAACCTATGATGTGAAATCAATTTTATGTCATCAAGTCACAAAGTAACAACAACCTTCCTGACAAAATAAAGATAAGCCTGGGCAATTCAATGTTTGACAAAATTTCAGCTGGGACATTTCAATGAAATAAACTAACATGGTTGAAACTGATGTAGCCAAGGATCCCACACCAGAAATCTCTGCACATTTTTGTCTGTGTCGCCCACAAAACAACTATTACAACTTCCATGAATAAAGACTAGAATGATGATCTCTGACACCAGAAAGCAAACTTAGGACCTAAGTCACCAATTTCAGTCAGTTAACATTGAAAAAAGAAAAAGAAAAAAACATTCGATTTTTTAGTACCCTTCAATAAAATGGGGGAAATTCATTTCAAAATTATGAAGTATGGTAATATTAATTATTTCTTGTTAGTGTCAGAGAGAAATGCATAGTTGGTCACAACTTAAAGTTACAGCACACTAGCTCCTATTAACATATTTTGAGCATTTCAAAGCTGAAAAACACAAGTATGGTTTGAATGGAATCTTGCCTCTACCATGAACAAAATGTTTGAGTCAGTTTTTACAAGGTACAGTTAAATAAAATTATTCACCATAGAGCAAAATTCCTGGTACAAAAAACTTAAAGGAGCTTTCAGTAGTACAACAAATACCATAAGTAAATTAATACTAGTCAAGTTCTTACATGATAAAATTAGGGGAACACAGCAACCAGTTTGTCAGGTTTAAACACAAGATAATACCTGAAATGTAAGAAATTGTAAAATATTCAGACTGTACAAATGTTTCCAGGATCTGGGGAACTACAGTATTCACTTTGATTCAAAAATCCTAAAATAATAATAGTACAGCAATGTTGCTATCTGAAAACTAACACCTTATAAAGAAAAGAGAAAAATATTGGTGACTGCCAGAACTTTTTCATAAATCTCATTAAAAATTTCTTTAATCAATGAAAAACAATTTACCCCAAACCATTCAAAAAGATGACAGTCTTTGCTTTCATTCAGTTCAAAACAAATGTCAGGACGTGCAGCATTAAAAATTATGTTAACTCTACGCTGTTACTATGTGATAATCATTCCTCCATTGACTGATTAGAAAATTAACACAATGAATAGAACCAGGATGGAAATAAGGAAGCAAACTCATGCCTCTTTCAATGAGGAAAACATTTTTCGATTGAGGCAAAGATTATAACAAAATTCTCAACCTGAAGACCAACTGATGTATACTCAATAATGAACTTAAACAGCACGAGACCTTATAAAGAAAAACCCACAAAGTTAAGAAGAACATGTTAAAATCCGCTTTAGTGATAAAAACTAAAACTGAGTTCAGAAATGCTAAGCAAGCTTACTCTAGAACGAATTTCAAGCTAATATTGACGACATTTATAAACAGAGGAATGTTTTCAATACTCAAAGGGTTAGCAACAAAACATCTTAGAACAGCATTACTTGACAAGAAGAGCAGTTTTATATCCGGTTTCTAGAAGGAATGTTTTCCCTGCTCACATAAATACTCGATAACTTGATAACAATAAATGAGCACGAGCACATACCAGTACCGTGCACTCATTTCAAGGAAGCAACTCTGAAGATTGTGAAACAGAAAACTTCAAAGTATTATTGCAACAAGAAAACAAAATTCCATATTTCTTCCATCCCAAAAATGCGTTTGACTTTAAAGTTTGAAGTATGTAATCAACATGAGCAAATATAAAAAGAATCAACATAAGGCACAGTTAAAATAAAGCACTATGTGCGACTGACTTTACATCCAGATCTCTGACATAAAGTGTAAATTGTTCACAAAAAAATTTAAAGTAATATTTAGGAGACTAACATACCTAATATCACTGAAACTTAAAGACCTATACTACCTTCACTCAAACAAAAAACTACAATAGCACCTAAACAAACAATAACAATTCTGAAATGCAACAAAAAATGACTACCTTGGCACAAAACAAGATGCAGCACAACAATGCAGGGGGCCCAGAACAAAATCAGAAGCAATGCTACTAAAACCACAATTCAACATCAATACAAAACATAGATGTCCTTGGATGAAGGCCTATCGCCAGCATTACAAATTGTGCTTCAGTTTAGATGGTCATGTCCCCATGTTCCTCATTCCACTTTTGATATAAAAGTAAACTGCCAGGAGAAACACTGTGACGTATTCGACGCAGGGATTCTTGAAAGTCTTCATATGAAATACTGCGCACTTTCTTCGGATCCAAATTGCGCACTTGATCTGGATTCAGTTCTGCAAAATAAAGCATTATTTAAAACTGGATAAGTAAAAAAAGAGAGAAAGTGAGGGGAAATATGAAAAATATGGTATCTAACCTCTGATGGGTCCCAATGCAGCATCTTTAGCTAGAGCAGTAAGATCTGATCCTGAATAGCCCTCGGTAAGATCTGCTAACTTTTTAAGCTCTGACCCTGACAAAGGATTATTATGTTTACTCAGCAAGTGCCTTAAAAGTGTTTCTCTGGTTAATGTATCAGGAAGTGATACATAAATTCTCTTTGGAAAACGTCTGCAAAAGACAAGAAATGAGTGAAAGGCAAACAACAAAGCAAACATTTGTTTGTATTCCTACAATACTTCCAGCATACCTCAATGCTGCTTCATCAAGTTCCTGGGGACGATTGGTGGCTGCAATGATTAGAAGCCTTTCTTCACTATTTGTACCAAGACCATCAAACTCCAGTAAAAACTCAGTTTTGAGTCGACGGCTTGCTTCATTTTCTCCTTCTCTTCTTTCAGAAAGAAGTGAATCTACTTCATCCATAAATATAATTGACGGCTACAAACAGCAAATAAGAAAATTAAAAAAAGGCTTAAATTGTTAAAACAATGAAAAATAATTCAATTTTTAAAAAATCTTATTGAGAAATTATACCTGAAGTTCTCTTGCAACAGCAAATAGTGCTCTGACTAGTTTTTCACCTTCGCCAACATATTTAGAAGTGAGGCTAGCAGCACTAATGCAGAAAAAGGTGGCCTTGCACTCTGTGGCAACAGCTCGTGCCAGAAGTGTTTTCCCATTACCTGGAGGGCCAAATAAGAGCAAGCCTCTCGAAGGAGCTCTTAAGCCAGTGAACAGTTCAGGTCTTAAAGATGGAAGTATTACCATTTCTTGTAGAGCTTGTTTAGCAACCTAGGGAACACCAAAATCTAGATTAATACTTTTGTTTTAGAATTTACACGGAAGACACAATATAAGAGAAGCTCTTGCCTTTTGACCAGCAATATCATCCCACTGCACTGGACAGCTACCCTCAACAATTTCATCAAGGATAAGGTTGGCAAGCTTAGAATCAACCCCTTTCAAGACAGGTTGCCGTTTGCCTGGGGCACCAGGTCCCACAGAATTGTTGCCAGCGCCATGCCCACTACCATGCCTGCTGTGGCCTGCATGGCTACTATGGCTTCCCCCACTGCTGCTGCTTGACCTATGGACTGGAGAACTACTAGGGCCCTACAATAAAATAAAAAAAGAACAAAGAAAAAATTTTAAAAAGTTAAAAACTAAAATGAAGTTTTTTTCCCAGTCTTCAATAAAATATTACAGATTTTTAAGAACAGTTGACTGACCGACATCTGGCGTTTCACAGCAGGTGGTGTTGATGAGGGTTTAACAACACGAGCGCTGCTTATATTGCTCCATGATCTTGATCCCATGTTCCGAGGGAGGGTATTGCTTCTATTATGGCCGCTGCCAACTCCTTCTGTAGCTTTCTTCATAGGAAGTTGAAGTTTCCGACCAGATGCTGAAAATATTTGAACATATTTACCAAAAACTTGACAAACAATCAGTTCTTTATTATTAAATTTTGAAAGTTGAGCCACAAAAATATTATTTATTTAAGTATTACCACCCATTTCTAACTTTTCTTTGTTAAAAAAAGCAAAGCAAAACAACAGAAAGCCAGGCTAAAATGCATCTACTTTAAACTCAAGACTAGACAGCATGCCAATACACTACCTATATTTGGGAGGATGCCAAGTTTTTCCATTTCAGTGCATTCCACTGGTGACGTCTGATTTTCTGCGTTAAAAACAAAGGCATTCTAAATTTAAACAAAATATAGTTTATATTTTAAAAAATGCATATTTTTCTACAGGGGGCTGGTAATAAAAGCTTGCCATTTTCACACTAGTTCACACACAACACAAGAACTTTCTGAAAACACTTGCAAACTACTCCTATGATCTACATAATTATTTTTGTGGAGCCAAAAAGTTCATACGATAAGCTGTACAGCTGAATCTTTGCTTTATGTATTTTAAGATCCTAGGAGAGTTTGCCGGTGAACATGGACAGAAAGCAAGTTTCTCAAACGTAATTTTACAAGATTGCTCATTAATACAATTGTATCTACAACGTCAGCACACAGTCGCTAGACTATGAAGATAAAAAAGCATACCTAGGAATGACAGTCTATCCTTAGCCATGCTCAGGTTTGTCTTCATCTTGACGTGAAGTCTCTGTGCACGTTCCCACACTTCTCCCTTGCCGCCAGTGCAGTCAATTGCAATCCCCTTCTCTAATTCAAGTATTCCTTTGCGATAGAGCTCAATTGCCAGATCCTTTTGACCTGAAAGTAGAAACATCACAAAGCATGATTGGCATTCCATACTAGCAAGGAACATCAACACATATAATAAATCATAAATTTTTACCTTCGTTTTCTTCATCAATCTTGAGTGCTTTAGAAATATACTCAAAGGCTTTCCGATGGTGAGCTTTCTGCTTGGCCAGCAGGGGGTCTGCTGGCCCTGGGCCAGATGAGTGTTTTGGACCCAACTTTGTTGACATTTCAGAGATGTGTGGCGGGGCTTCGCACAGAGTGTTTTCATCAGACAGCTCCTGAACATGGGTTGCTGCTCGCCTCCGAAGACGCTGAAGCAAGCCGAACCTCGCAAAGTGGCAGTAGAAATACTTGAAAATGAGGTAGAGGTGATACACCAGGGAGCTGAGTATGTTGAAAACAAATACAACAGGGAAAGACACGAAGTATAGATTTCGCTTGTGAACGGATATGGGTTCGTCTGCTCCCGTCGTAGAATCTTCATCTGATTTTCTTGATTTCTTAGTTGTTTTGGATTTTGAATTTTCCTTAACAACCATTTAGCTACTTTTCTGCCATCCCAGAGGACAGCCTTCAGAATCCACCATCAAGAGGTTACTGCCACTGCTGACTGACAGCTGACAGACGACAGACGACTCACGGCCGATGTGATTCACGAGTTCAGAAGGCACTGACTATGAGAAATTAACAAGGCAGCAATCAACTGACAGACAACTGACTAGAGTCCTAAAGGCCCTAACTCTACAACTGTCTAGAGTCCTTCAACTGTCTAGAGTGGTCTGTACAACTGCCCTACAACTGTCAAGATTCTAGAGGGTCTAGAGTCCTAAACAGAGATATATGCTAATATTTATCGCTGGTCCTAAAGCATGCCTGAAGGCCCTTTAGGACTCTAAGCCAGTCAGGTCAGGACTGGTGCAAAACATATCAAGGGAAGGATTTCCTTTTGAAAATATCTGCTTCGACCTTCAACAAAATTCTCCGACCCCCCCCCCCCCGCCCCGTTTTTTTGTTTTAGTCTGTGTGAGGGGTTGCAGAGAAGGTGGCAGGGGGAAGTCCAGAGTCTTGAAAAACTGAACTAAGTAATTAGGAAGAGTTTTGAGTGTAAGGAAAGGGGAGTCATCACAGGGAAACAAATTGATAATTTGGTAGTGAAATTATATTATGAAATACAGAAGTGACACTACAGTACAAGGCAATAAAATGTAAATTGTACAGAAAGGGCCACATTACCATGAAGGGTTACTGTACTGATAACCTGTTTTCCAGATCCAGGTAAGATTAATGGCAGTATTGGACTGGACACCAGGTACCAACAAACAACACCAGGGATTCATCTCAGGGTGTCCTTTTACATGAGTACAAAGTCTATGACAGTAATAATCATAATAATAATAGTAATTATAATAATATAAATCATTACAGACAAAATTATGATTACATGTTGAGGATCACACAATGGTTTTATTAACATCCTTTCATAATAAAACTGGAGGCGTTAATTGAAAACGCATTAGTTTGTGTAACTCATGGACAGCATGACTAAATGGACTTATTCCAGAAAAACTTTTCTTCACTCAAAAGACTGAATATGTTGACATTTATCAATAACTAAAAGCTGAGGGATTATGATAGTCTTTTGGAGCCCACAGGCAACTGGACATGGGCACAAACAGAGAGTAGGAGAGAAAAAACACAACAAAAACCTCATAGCAACTGATATCAACCAACACAGTTTGAAATGCAATATACAAGGGATTAATACAACAGTATGAAACATATGGATACAAAATGCAATGAGAAGTAAGAAAATTGAGGTATTGTTAATGGACTCAATGTAAGTTTGCAACATCCTTGACACAATTTCAATAAGTCTAAATTACACATCTTAATCCACATTAGCTACAAGCCTACAGCCTACAATTACAGTAGCACATTATAAGCGAGCTTCATTGAGTGTCAAAAGCTTAACATAACGCAAAAATACATTGGTCCCGAGAGAACAACAAGTTTACATGTTCCAGTGTGAACAAGAATAGACCCCAATTAAACATTTTTTGAACCATCACAGTAAAAATCATTATCTTTCCATTTCCTTACAGGCTAGTTATTGGAATGGTATCATGAACCTGCCACACAAAGCATGCACAAATTTTAAAAAAATTGAAACAGAATCATGAGTTGAACATAATAATTCATCGTTTCTTTCGTGTCTGTAATGGAAGATGATACATTAAGGCACAAAATTATTTGAAGTCTTCAAAGTTAAATGCTGAAATCAAAAAAAAAAAAAAAAAAAAAACCTTAATGGGGAAATCCATGCAAAATGTTCACAATGCAAACTGCTGTTCATATTACATGTTAAAAATATGGTATGTAAATTTAAATATTAATGAAGACTTTTAAAACAACTTCTTTGGAGAACAAACACTAGGACTAAAAGCCTTAAGATTTCTAACCAGTGACATGAATTTCAACATGATTTTGATGATGATACTTATGATGCAAACAGTGATTCTACCAATAAAACAAAATAAGCAATGTGATGATGGTATTCGATTGAAAAATATTTTGACAGGTTTACATGCCTTGATGCATACTCAAATGCAGGTCAAGACATTGCAAAAAATTGTGTTATATTTTATGCATGACTAGGGAGTAAAAACACAGCAGTACAACACTCAGTAGATGTTAAAAGAGACTAGTACTGTGCAGGTGTTTTTCTTTTTGAAAAAAAGTCTCTTTTAAAACGCCATTACATGCTTTGTGCTTTACAATACAAATGTACGTTAAGAAATATTTTGAAACCTAGACAAAGGTAGTTAAGTTTCATCATTAAGTGTATCACATCTCCAGTTGTAATCTTGCATAAAACTTTGAGATTACAGTGTGGACATGCAACAATCAGTAAATGGGAAAAATTACAATAAATGAGATCTATTTAAGGGAGTGCCAAACTATTCTTAAGATAGGATTTATATGATATCTATCAAAGAATCCAAACTAGTTATTTCAATAATTACAAACAAACAAAGAAAAGTCAAACATTATGTGTCTAAAAATTCATTGACTAATTACTCACTGCTATATGAAACCTTAACTGTATATGTACAGAACAGCACCAAATAAAAATAACAGTGATACAGTAGAAAAGTTAAGTCAGCATATTATGGAAAAATTGAAAAAGTTGAATAAAGATTCACATAGAGAAATCTTGATTGCACACATACTTAAACTAATTGATTGCTTTTTGGCCTTGAATCTTACTATCGTACATGTACAACAAAATTAATGTTCCTATTCTACCTTAATTTTTATGTTTTGCGTGTCCACTGGCTTTCTCCATCGCATCCCAACAATGAGGGAAAACCATGTCCAAATAACCACCAAGTTTTAAAGAATGAGTTAATTCAAAAAAGGGGAATGGTTTCAATGTATGCCTGAGCATTGAAACCAAGACAAGAAATATGACTCAATAATAAAGATACTTGCTACTGTGGAAACATTCGAGTAATATGTAAATGAGTAGGGGAGGACATAAAAAGGGGGCTAAGAAAATAAGCTGCCAACAGAACAGGACCAGTTCACATCACTACAGAAGCATGAGTAAGGGTACCCTGAACACACACACTGAAGCTTCACATTGGCCAGTAAGGTGGTAGAAATGAAAGCAGCCAAAGAAACAATTGGGAGAATAAAGAAAACAAATCACATTAACTAAATGTTAAATTCATATCACAAAGGATGACTTAATAGGTGTTGGCAGGAACACGCTTTGAAGGCACACCAGGAGCAGACTGGGTGAAGTTACAGCAAATCATACTCGAAGTGAACAACATAAAGACATTAAAAAAGTCAATTAGAAAAAAGGACTGCAACCAAACTACAAAATAAATATAAATTCGATGCTACGACACATGAGATCACTCTGCGTTAAACTTATGAGTTTACCACCTGTAAGGTGCAAAAATATGTCACTCATTGTTGAAATTAAAAACAAAAATGTGTAAAATCAAATATTGACAGTTGCATCCGTTAATAGGACTTAGAGTGTTAGGAAACCAAAAGCTATGCCCACTACTACCAATTGTTAATGCAAAAGAAACATTGCAAGAAAATAGGAAACAAAGACTTAAAAAAAAGGGCAGTCAAACTAAAGGAAATCTACTAGAAAGGAAGATATGATCAAACACACAGTCATATGGCTTCATATGGCAAGAGGCTGTGTAGTCTGACAAAAGTAATTGAACAAAGACACAGAACTTAAACACCATCAGGGTTGAAATGTTGGTATAACTGCGATTTGGCACAATGGATGAAAAAATAATGTAGCGTGAAACATGATCGAAGAGCACGAGTCAAGAACAAATCTCTCACTGTTCATGCACCGTTTGAATTGACATGAATGACGGCAAGGCCACATTTCTACATAGAACACCAGCACAGTGTAAATGTCAAAGCAGTCCACATATTCTACAGCACCATAATTTCCATGCTAGAGAAAACATGCTTTCCACTATTTAACAGCAAAACAGAAAGTTGATGTTGTCACCTAATACTGTCAAAGTTTGCACATGGCTCCACTTGCCACATAAAATGGCAAAAAATCCAAAGGGATAAAAAATGGTTAGTAGTTCTATGTTATCATGACTCAATCTTTGGCATAAAAGAAGAAAGAACAACTCTTCCTAAAAGAAAGAAGTTTATGGCAGTACTAGTAACGTAACTTGTACTGCCCATTTATTTAGAGTCCTATACCCACCCTATAGGACTCAAGTCGTTGTGACTAGTGACACATAAGAAAAACAGACAATAAACATCTAAATCATCTGCAACAATATCTTGTAAAAGGAGGGTGGTGGGACAATGGTGAGTCTAAGCAATAAATTAACAAAAGAAAAGGGGGGGGGGGCGTCAGAGTAAAAAAAATTAAAAGCAATACTGAAAACTTGACTTTGCATTAAGCTTTGGTCAGACCTAAAGAAAACACATTGCTCACTTAGAACGATATGTCAATAGTTTAGGTTGAAGAATATCAGGAAAAACAAATTAAACGTTATTGAAAAAGTGTACTGAAGCTTCAGCATTTCCACACAAAGTGATTCATGACTCAGTCTAACTTCCTAATTTTTAAAATAATCAGGATACTTTCATTCAGCAATCAGTTCATATACCAAAATTACAAATGACAGTCTATCTTTTCAGAAAAAAAGCACAAGTTTTAGAAAAACAAAACAGTGCAAACTCAGTTCATGGTAATGATTCTCTTTTTCTACTAAGCAGTTCAAATAACTCAAAAATTCATACAAAATAATAAATGGTAAACATCACACTTAGCTGTAGTTGACAAATTTCCAACAGCCTATCAATAACTCACGGAAGAGTATCAGTGAAAGTACCCGATACTTCTTCAATAGTATGATTGAATTAACAAACAGTAAGACTCAAAATTACTTAAAAAAAAACAAAAAAAAAACAGTAAAGGCAATTGAGAATTACACAAACAACTATTCAATAAGAAAGGAATTCAGTCAATTACTTCACGGTACGGGAGTTCAGAGGTGACAGTGAAGTCTTCCAAGTAGTGGTTTAGGAATTCAAATGTGGGTCTTTTATCTGGATCAGCATCCCAACACTGCAGCATTAAACGGTAAATAGCATCAGGAATGAAGTGACACGTTGGCTTTGGCATACGGTATCCTCTTTCAACTTGTTCTATCACCTCACGTCCATGCATGCCTTTAACACAAAGACACAAAAAGTTAAACTCGTCAAATGACTGAACAAAATTTTTACATCAAACAGAGTATTATTAAGATACTAACCAGGATATGGTACTTGTCCATATGTGAAAAGCTCCATCAGGAGAATTCCATAAGACCAAACATCAGATTTGATAGAAAATCGGCCATAAACAATAGCTTCAGGAGCAGTCCACTTAACAGGAAAACGAGAGCCTGGAATCAAAACCAAAAGTTCATAAACATACTATGCTGTTACAAACTTCATTGAGCAATTATGCTTGAGGAAAAAGGCAGGTACCTTGACGAGGACAGTATTCATCATCTTCAATAACTCTAGCTAAACCAAAGTCACAAATTTTGGCCATATTATTGTCACCAATAAGAACATTACGAGCAGCAAGATCTCTATGAATCAACTGTTTCACTTCTAAGTACCCCATTCCACTTGCAACCTGCATGACAAAGATTACCAAATTAGTCACTTGAAAGGGACATTTACTGGAAATTGCATTCAAGTGCACAAAATTAAACATCTCAGCATTCAGAATTTTCAGAGCACGACCTGATAATAAACAACAATAGTTGATTTTAACACATACTCTGAATTTTGTCATCAAAGATGTAAAATTTTAAATGTTGGCAATAAGTTTAGAAAAATGTCATCAAAATTGCTTTGAAAATTCAAAACTCATCTAACTGTGTTCTTAACAACCTTTTTGATGCATGAAGGCTAACAGAGTAACAACAAATCTTTTCGCTCACCTGCGCCCCTATATAAAGTAGATCACCAAACTGCAAATCTTTCCCTTCTCCATTTCGAAGGAATTCGAGCAAACTACCACGATTCATATATTCTTGGACAATGTAGATTGGTTCTTCCTTTGAACAAACTGCATAGAGAGCAACTAGACGATCATGGCGGAACTTCTTCATGATTGCTGCTTCTTGCAGAAAAGCTGCAGTTGACATAGTACCAGGTCTTAAGGTCTTCACAGCTACTTCAATGTTGTTATGCCATTTCCCTGATGGAGACAAATGAGAGTTTAAATCCAGCAATATAATGACATCTGCCAAATAGTAAGAGACTGAAAAATGAATTGACAGTTGCTACTCACCATACCATACCTCTCCAAAGTTGCCTTGACCAAGTTTCCGAATAAGCTGAATTTCATTGTGATCTATTTCCCATTGATCTCTCAGCAGAGGTGACAAATCCCATATTTGAGGTTTGGGCTTGGGGCAGGGTCGAGAAAGGACATGGCACAAACCCAAAGCATTTTCTATTTTAATAATAGATAAAAAAAGACAAATAGAAAATTGACATGAGTTACAGGCAAACAAAGGACACAAAGAAATAAAGCTATTATTACTTACTTGTATATGCTAGAACAAGAGCAGGAAGGGTGGCAAATGTTTGATTTGTTGCGATGTAGTATCCTCCATTGTCCAAAGGTTTTATCTTGTAATGTTTTACATGATATCCTCGACTCTCATCCCAATCTTTGACTGAGAGTGAAAATCCATTTGGATTGTGTTCGGAATTACGGATCAAAAATGTTCCTCTCGTATTCTCATCAGCTAAAAGTAGCTTTTCAGCTTCCTTCCGAGATACTTTCCCGAAGTACCAGCTAAATTTTCAGAAAACAATGGGCATGATAAAACAAGCAAAACCTTCCAACTGCTAGGAACAAATTTTGACACTTACTCTTCACTCTCCACTGATTTTTCTTCAGCAACAAAATTCCAGGGAATGAGACCTTCTTCACCAGAGCGAATATGCCTTACTCTCCACCAATCAGACTCACTACAAATATCAAAAGTAGACAAAAGTATGAATCAACAGGATAAAAATGTTAACAGAAAAAGAAAGTACTGTAGAAGAAAAAAATAAGTGCAAGTTTACCTGTCATCTATTACTTCCATTCGATCACCCTTTGCAAATGAAAGATCAGCTGCTTCTCGTGATGTGTAATTATAAACAGCAACAACAATTCGGCCTTTACCAGATGAATTAGGGTGGACTGAGAAATTGAAAAATTAAATTAGACTTTTAAAATATACAAGAGCAAGAAAGTGAATCAAATTTTGAAGGAACTTACAAGGTGTTGTGGGAGTTCTTATTATATCAACACCTTGCTGACGCTTTCCACTTCCCATATTCATCATGATGCGATTTGGTTCTTGAATGTACCTGGGCTCACTTCCCAATGTGCCAACACTGCCCATGTGCACACCAAGATCAGCTGCTTCATTGAGTTTGTACCCATGTTGCAAGACTTCAAATAGGAAAAATTACAAATCACAGATCAGATCCATTACAAACCAAACACACATACTCACACCTCTACAAGAAAACGTTAACAGAAAAACCTTCACAATGATCTTACCTGATTGGCGGCTGGAATCAGAATTGTTTTTGCTACAGCACGCACCCATTTTGAAATCGTAATATCAGAAGGGTGCACACACGGGCAATCTAAATAAAATGAAGGCAGCTACTTTGGGCTGAAATTCATTTCAGGATGAGGAAAGAAAGGAGGCCCTCATGGTCACACAAAATGCACCCTGAGGAAGATCAGAAAAACAGACATTAATTAAAATAGACCTCAACAGAAACTTCCTGTGTGAACCAAGCAAAACAACAAGTGTTGAAATTGACAATAAAAAAAGATTATAAGGGCATTGATAGAACAAATGACTATGGGAACATAGGCACAAACTTAGAAAGGGACTGACCATCCTCCACTCAAGGAAACCCCAATGTTACCTCAACATTTAAAAGTAGAGTCAGTCGAGCCTATGAGACTGACGTACCAACTCAGGTGGGAGCCCTGGCCTCTTGCCAAGGAGCTATTTTCACTAGAGGGACTGAATACATGGAAAACTAAAGTTGAAGAACATCATAACAGTCATTTTCATGACAAATTAAATACAGATGAAGATGATGATTAAGAACGCAGCGGATTCATGAAATCTCCAGAAATTAATAAATTATTGAAAGGAGACAGAACGGTACAAGCAAAGCTCTACAAACCGTACAAAAGTACGGATATTGAAAAACGGTAGACTAGTAAGTCAGTACCTACGAGAGAATTTTGAAAACTTCCTTAACCCCAACTTTCCATTCATCCCCTTATCAATAGTGTCGCGTGCATGAGCTCATACATGAGATACAGAGACACTGTAAAGGAGAGCTATATAAAAATACAACACTTTCACGAAATGTTAGTGCTAAAAATTGTTGAGGCAACACACATGGAGAATAACAATCACGTCCAATAATATCCTGATTGATTACGGCTCCTTTGTGGCCGAATGGGTTATTGGGGTTAATTGGCCCCTGGATTCAAGGAATAGATTTCGCCGGGCACTACATAAACTAACTGGACACCAGACTCGAAACAACTCACGCAAACCATTACAAAGGTCAAAGCAAGGTAATGACCGTATCAAAACACACAATAATGGCAAAAGCAGCACAGCAGACTCGTGAACTAATGCCCCCTTTTCCGTCCGCACAAGAGATAAATGAACCCACCAAGGTAGGAAGAGTATCTCCATGATCAAGGCAGATCTAGGACAGTTCGCCGAATCCGTTAATGTTCCGAAATGAAAATCCTCGCGAACAATACACGCAAGTTTTACAGACGACAAATTGACGGACTGCCTGCCCCTCTACCCGCGGCGGCGCCAGTGCCAGTTTATCAGCGCCGACTCCCACTCCCACTCAATGGATGCGTTCGCGACAACAGCGAACAGCGGGGAGGTGGAGGGAACAACAAAGACACGGGGGGAGAGGAGGGAGCGGGGAAGGATAAACGCACACTTGCACATATTACTCAGAAAGAGTGATAAACTGCCAAATCTGAGAGACGGAAACCCTCGCTTTTTTTTTTTAAGAAGAAAGACCGTTCTTTTAAGATGCGACCGGCCGCGGCTGCCGGCAGTCGGTGGAACGAAGAATAAAGGGCAGTTTTCGGACGTCATCCCTGGCATACACGCCTCAAAAAGATTTAAAAAAAAAAAATAACAAAATCAACATGCATCTAAAATGTTTAAAGTGTCTCGGGCATCGAATCACATTGAGGTGACGTGAGACTTTGATGTTGTTGAGATGAAACATGCTCATTTGATGGTTTGCCTTGCAAATGAATTAGGTGTGTGTTGATTTCTTGTGGAAAACAATCAATCCCAAACCTCTTCAGATATAACAATTATTATACCACTGTGTGGGAAAGGAAAAATTAAATACAGAAAATTTACTCCACCTCTCTCAAATATTTATTGACTTCAACCATGTATCTCCATATGATTAGGTTTGAGAATACAATGAATGTTCTTTAGGGGCATTCCCAAAGTTCACGTTAAACATGCAAACTGGATGAAGCAGTACAATAATTTATGGCACCATCCAATTTCCACGTATTATACAGCACGACACTGGTCAGCAGGCAATCATACTCATCCAAAAACAAAACAAAACTACATTCACATTTTAGAAAACACTACATGTAGTCAAAAAATAGGCATAAAATTGTCAAAGCAAATCAGCAAGTGGAAAAACAGAAGATAAAACAGATTTAGAATAATGAAATGTCACTCCAATGTAAATACGTATATGTGATACATATAGAATATCCAGCAAAAAAATAAATATTGAATACATTGTATCACTTTTTGGTGCATCACTAAAGAAATCAGCTCTCAGGAAAAAGCATAGCTCCTCTGATTATCACAGCTCGGACTACTTTGCAGTATCACAACATAAGAAATTTTTATGACCAAGCACAGAAAGACTTCATTCAAAATTACCGGTAATTATTATTTGCTACAAATCTTACTTGTGATACTACATTAGAACTCCAAACTAAAAAAAAGAATAAAATTTACTCTCTTGAAAATCAAACCTATGGGCTGGATTGTCTGTTCCCCATCTTCTACAATTAGAAAACTCTAATCAATAGCTGGATGGAGAGTACAACTGAACAAACCAGCCGAATGCTTTGCTCTAATTTCATGAAAATTTTTTGCTTGATCTTAACAAGAAAAAAAGCAACAAAAACAAAAAAAATGAAAACAGAATGAACAATTTATGTCGAGACAAGTAAGCATTAGTACATAAATAGTGAAACACAAATAGACACTAAATTACAGGGGATTTGAAAACAGTTGCAATGTGTATTAGCTATGTTAAACCAAAGCTACTTTGTCAAAAGGTATGGTAGTAATTGACTAGCAAGCAACAGTAAGAGTGGCATTGCGACCTACAAATATTGATGAGCGGAAATGAAAAACGATAGGTTTATTAGATGGCAAACTGCTATCGCACAACTGACACCGATGTGTGCTCTTAATCATCCAGTTATGTATCGGATTTCATTAATACATGGAAACCAAACAAGTTACACTCATAAAAGGACATACGAGAGTAAGTACAATTTCTCCATAGAAATTATTAAATGATTACAGCAAGACCTGACTAAGAAAAATTCCTCTGTGCATTCCTTACATAACTATTTTAATTTAAACCAAATAATTATACATATGTATGGTTTATAAGAGTATCCTTCACATGTAAAGTAAATAAAGTTATCTATCCTATCTACATACAAAACCAATCAATGGTTGCACATATGATCAGAACAATGCACCAGAACAGGAAAGGAAATAAACAAACACAGTTGATCACAGTCTTATACAATTCGTGCAGCATTCGAATTACTTCAGATAAAAACAATGCTGTAGAATGTCAAATGGTATCATATGGTATGAAGAGCATACAAGATGTCCAGTTATCAATTTGCTTCACTTGCATTATGTATGCCTTATTTATTATTGATTTTTGGGCTGCTTTGGTCTGTCCAGATGATCCACTTTTGACAACAGCTCAGTCACATTAACATAGGAGAAGATTTATTTTGTAACATTTCTTCCCTCTTGCACAAACTACCCGACAGCTCTCACAGTTACAATGCATGCACACAGAAGAATATGGGTGGTTCTACACAAGACAAAACATCTGAATGGGGACACTGCTAACATAATTGTCAATTCCAATGAATAGGCAACTCAAGGTATAAAGTTATAAAAACATCAACACGTATGTAGAGTATATTGATACATGTGTTCCTAGAACAGTGGTACAAGCAGTCAAAGCCAATTGGCAGATGACAAATATAACAAAAAAAGAAAAAAAAAACCCTATGGGTACATACAAATTACTTTTGAAGCTGGTAGCAAACGCCGAATTTGACACCAAAGAATGACATAGCAAACACTTCCAAAAATCATTTTCACAAAAAAAGAAATTGATCTTAAAACTACTCTCATGAAAATACAGAAAGTTTGCAACTAAAATTGAAATTTACTACAAGGAAAGTAAAAAATACCAGCTTAATATAATTACACTGATAACAAAAGATATCTGCTGAAAAATGATAATGGCTATTGGCAAGTTAAATAATGACAAGATGAATTTTGGATACCGAAAATTTCACAAGATATCTAATCAACACTAATGGATGAAGTTTGCTGTCACTGAGTAGTTGATGTCAGCAAAGCAATTGTCTTCTCTCTCCTAAAACTATGAGTCATTCTTGTGCAGCCTGGGAGCTGGGAGCCATAGTGCAAGTAAGGAAAATGCTTCACGTAACTTTTTCATTACGACATGTTAGAAGAGATTGCAAGTACGTAAGCTGACCAGGTTTGTGAAGGGACAACTGCTGAAGTGCATCCTCCATTGTAAACCATTTTCGCTTGCGACCTGAAAACACAGACAACAGTTAATAGAAGAATGACAATCAAAATGATGAATTTGAACACTGTGTACAGTACTCACCAATGTTACGGGAATCCTCCCACTCAGGCAGCTCTTCTGTCACTGTCATAACGAAAACTTCAGTGCGGTGCTTCTGCTCACAATTCTATAAAACAAAAGGAAAACCATTCGATAAGATACATTCATTTTACCATTCCATACTATTCCCAGCCCTCTGCCCCTCGCTAGTTAATGGAATGAAATCAGTACAGCTACGATGGGATACCTACTATTACCTCGAAGACTCCGAGGCAGCGCCCGAGCTTGCCGACGACCCCGGCCTCCTCCATCACCTCCCTGATGGCGGTGACGCTCGCCTCCTCCTCGGGCTCCACGCCACCGCCGGGGACGATCCAGTGGTCGGGGCGCCGCGACGACGACACCAGCAGCACCTGCAGGCAAAGGCAAAACCCAGTCAGTCATGCACGGCTCAAAATGCCCTCGTCCACGGTTCCAACACCCTCTGCCATCACGTCGACGCGAGCGTGACCACGCCAGGCGTGGCGCCAGGGAAAGGCCAAAAAGTCTTCGGCACGCTGCCCCACAACGCTGCCCCACGCTGTCGGGCCGCCGGCCGGAGCGCCTGCAGGACGCCGGGTAGGCTTCTCCTGCAGACTCGCGTGTCGCGCGAAAACGCGGCTGCCTACCCGCCAGGCGCTCCAGTCGAACGTGAGGGCGCGCGAACCTCAAGTGATTCTGTTCTTTGGCACCCCAGCCCCGCCTCCGATCCCACTGCCCCCTCGGGTCGGTGTCGGCGAAAACAAACTAGCAGGCTGACGAGCTGACGCGTCACTGCGGTCGCGGCGTCGCGGCCCCACCCACCGCAGCGCACCCACACGCACGCACGCACCCACGTGCATTCGTGTGTGTTTGGCAAACGCGAGCAGAGAACCGGATCTTAGAAAAGAAACCGGTTGCGGTGACGGCCGCTCCCGCCAACCAGATAAAACCGGTCTCGCTAAGGGACGGGCACCGTAGACGAACCGAGACGAACTAGGGCGACCCGCAGGCGCCCCCGCGGACCAGAGGCACGCGCGCTGGTTGTTGAGACACCAACGCTTCCTTAGCGCGCATCCTGCATTCCTGTCGTTTTTCTGTATTTTTCGGGGGCAGCGCAGGGAGGGCACTTTGGGTTAAACGAGGCGCGGGGCCGCGGGGTGGCCATACCCCTACCCGGCCCAGCCCTCGACTCCCGGAGCTTCCTGTGCTCCCTCCCCTCCCCGCACGTACGACGTGTCCAGGAGACGCGCGGCGGACACAAACAGGAGCTCCAAGTGACCAGGGAAGGTCAACGCGATACTCAGGCGGCTAAATATAAGTGGAGATAGGGGAGGGGAGCGGGAGACTGTGTTAGTCTATACGCCCAGTGCGACCCAATGCCTCACTGCGACGCGAGCCGGCCGGCCGCATGGCCAGTCGCGCAAACGCATGCCGCCAGTCAATTCGAGCAGCGGGGAACAAAACAAGTCCGTCAAATTTGATACGCGGTGAAAACAGCCAGGAGTGTCATTTGATTAAGCTGCTTCATTTCCAGACGGACTTTTTTTTTTTCAGTTTTTTTCGGACCTTTTCGTGTGCTTTCCAGTGTGGCATTCGCACTTCTCTCGTTGGTTGGTGCCGGTTGGTGCATGCATGCATGCATGCATTGGGTGGAGCCTGCGTCACGCTTTTGACGTCTGTTTCTTTGAACGCCGAGCCATCAAGCCGGCAAAAGGTAAAGGAGAGCAGCAACCGAATTCCTCGCAGGAAGGCTCAATCAGATCGGTTTAAGCGGTCACATCTCAAAAACGCGCGCCAGCTGATAGGGGACCCGCCGTCGCCACACGAACGCAGGCCGGGCCGAAGCGCCGCCGAAGCGCTCAAACTGCAGCTCTTGGCACTGTCACGGGGCGGACTGCTAACCGGTCCTCTAGTGTAGCCCGGCCTCGAAGCCGCTAACCTCTCGACCGCCTCGACCGCAGCGGGCATTATCTCGCGGCAAGGACACTGGCGGGGCCGGCGGCGGCCAGGGCGCAGCAGCATGCCGCACCGGTCCTGCCGCAAACATGCACCGACAACGCCCCGGGGGAAATGTTTATCAGGCACGGCGGCGTGCATTCCACTCGCCAAACACGGCGACGCCCGGCGACGCCGCGACGCCCGGCGCGCAGCCCGCCTATTTCGGTGTCATGCCAGTGCACTGATGAAAGGCTTTGAACTTTGAAGCGCCCAAAATAGAACACAGTAAAGTGCCTGTTGGGAGAGGCGCGCGCCGCCGCCGCGCCCATCAGCACAAGGCAGCGAGGCAGCGACTCGGCCACAATGACGGCGAGGCGGGCGGAGCGGCAGTCCGGGACCAGCCGGGACGCGAACACTGACCTCGACGCCTGCACTGCACGTCCGGCCGTCCGGCGCCGTGCGGCCAGAGCCAGCCAGCCAGCCTCAAGACGCTTCTTATCTGCCGTGCAGATTCAGCCTCCTCTGCGACCCCCATTTTTCAATGACGCTAACCTGACTGCCCCGCCCCGCCCCGCCCCTCCCCACTCCGTTCGCCGCCTTCGCCGGCCGACGAAAAAGAACGCGGCCGAGTCTCGCCAAGGGTGTCCGAGGCTCGGCCCGAGGGTGTCCAAGGGCTGGCCAGCCTCGGCGTCGACGCCGCCAGCGCCGGCGCGGCGCGCAGCCAAATCAAAGGGAGGGTACGTCGCCACGGATGGCCAAGACGGCCGGGACCGCGACCACGGCCCAGCCAGACCGATTCCGAGCGTCCTTTGCAGCGTGCTGTCTCTCTCGCACTCGCGCGCCTTGGGGCGCCTCCCCATGGGTGCGAGAGAGACAGTGTGCTGGACGTGGCGGCGGCAGAGGGGCGCCCCACGGCCCGACGCGCACGTGCCGGTGGCTCAATTACTGACCCAGCGCACGCGCAGACACGCCCCGCGTCACGGAGTCACGTACGCCGTGCACAGCGACCCGGCGACACCGACGGCCCGGCACGCCACTGGCGGACACGTCTCCGAACCCCTCGCGCCGCTCGCGCCTCGCCGGCACGCAACCACCAGCCACCCGCCCTCACGAAGTCACGAGCGGGCCGCTCCCCAAGCCCTCGCGGTGCGAGGACGCGGCCCGGTGAACGCGCGAACACTTGACGAGGCAAACGCCACCGACGTCGGGGATGGCCAGGGCGTGGCACGGCCATGAGCAAGTCGACCACCACGAAGTGACCAGCACCTTTGCAACATGTCGTCGGGCGGCACGTGTTCACAGTGCTGACAAAGCTGACAGGGCAGTCGCAGATTAGCGGCCTTCTATCACACATGGCGAAACCGTCGCGGCGACGTACTGACGTCTACTGTACGCGAGACCGCCCACGGACCACCGCGGACCACCGCGGACTCGGACCCGCTTCCCCTGCAGTTTGGCGCCATGGCCGTGCCGCCATGGCCGTGCCGCCATGCCACACCGCGCGCGAAAACACAGTCCGCCTGCCGAGGGTCATCAAGTGTCGCCAGTTTCATTTTTCATCGTCGCCATGGCGACGCGGTGGCGACGCGGTATTAGCCACTATACGTCGGTCGACGTCACCGAGGCGTTTTCATTCATCCGCCAACGCGATGGAGGCGAAGTGGGGGCGGGGGAAGGAAGTCGGGCGGAGCCAGGGGCGTTGGCCGACGCGGACAGGCGGACTTGCTCCGGCCTGTACACAAGGCGTGGGCAGGGCCAGGGGCCCGAGGGGGGACCCACTGCCCCAAAAAGTGTACAACTGAGTGTAGAATGTGTAGAATGTGTTGAATGTGTGAGAATGTAAAGATTGTAATGGAATGTACTGATTGTAAAGATTGTCTAGAATGTGTGTGAATGTTACAGATTGTAGTGAGAATGTGACAGAATGTGTCAGGAATGTTAGAGATTGTATGAGAATGTGTGAGAATGTAAGAAAAAGTGCGAGAATGTGTGAGAATGTGTGAAGATTGTGTGCTGAATGGGCGTGCGGCCGACGTCTCTACATAGCGCCGTGAAGGTAGGCAACCAATTTCACGCCTGAGGTAGTCAACCGTTCATCATAGTGGTGTTTCTTTGCTTCTATAAATCTTGCTTTGTCGCATGAGGTTGCCAGATTTTGGACAACTCCTTTCATTCCTTAGTCGTGCTCATCCAGGGTGGCTGGCCCCCCTGAGAAACTAGCGGAGGACGGTCAGATTTAGTCACAAACACGCAGAGCGGCTAATGTTCAAGTGACGCACAGTTTAATAAGCATTATCTCAAACTGCCAGTTCCGAACGGTTTTTTTTTGGGGGGGAGGTAGTTTTAAACGACTCTAGTCGTGCTCTGGCTTACGTTATGAAAGGATTCAAATTTAAATGAAAAGAAAACTGAACTTAAGCAAAGGGCAATGTAAATTAACACTTTCAAGTGACAAACCTTATCTATAACCAGTAAACTATATCCTGTCCTCGACCCGGGGCTGGGACTAGGCTGGGGCTTGGCTGACTCGACTTCGACAGAGTTTCGCGCGCTTCCAGGGACGATCCTGACGCGAGCACGGGCCAGCGGCTCCGTTCGGATTCGGGACGGACACGAACTACCGCACTACCGCACTGGAGGGAGGGAAGTACTGCTAGAGCTGAAAGGAACGTAAACCTAAATCGAAGTTATTAGACTAAAATAAATATTTTTAGGGGACTGTCATTGAGAATGTGTAAGGAATGTGCAGAGAATGTGTTAAGAATGTGTCCAGAATGTGACTGAATGTATGAGAATGTATGAGAATGTCAGAGAATGTACAGCGATTGTGTGAGAGTGTTAGGGAATGTTAGCGAATGTGTAAGAGTGTGGTGGATTGTGGCTGATTGTTTTGATTCTATGAGAATGTGTGGAATGTGTCTTGAATGTGAGTGAGTTTTTCGGGAGTTGGGTCTCAGGATGTACAACGAATGTGCCTAGTGGGTCCCCCCTCGCAGGGGCCCAGCCCGGCCCCTCCAAGGGAAAGGGGGCCCGCCCCAACGGGCCCAACAACGGTGTCCTGCTCTACAAGCTCAGGCTCTGCTAATTGGAGTCCACCCGCAGCAGACTGATTCCTCAGAGTCGCTGTCTCTCTCTCCCTGAGAGGGCGACGAAAGCGCCGAGGCGGAATCGCTTAGCGGGCCGCAGCGCGCCCGCGGCTGTGTCGCCAGACAATGCCGAGGACGTGGACACCGGGGTTCGGCGGGGTTGCCTACCCGAGGGGGCGTCAACCTGGTGGGGAACTGGGCAAAGAGACGCGCCGACGCGCCCCGCAGGCCGCAGCAGACTGATTCCGAGAGTCGTTTTCGTCGCTCTGTCTCTCTCGCACCTATAAGGGACGCTCGATGAGTGCGAGAGAGACAGAGCGACGAAAACGACTCTCGGAATCAGTTTGCAGGCCTAGTCAGTCTGTCGGCCCACTGGCACCACCGGTCCCGGCACGCCGCGCGACGCCGCGGCACCACACCAACACCGCGAGTAAGCCAGCAACTTTGGCAGCGGTTCATCCTTCCATCTTACATCAGCATTACGCGGTCCGGCAGCTCGCCGTGCTCGCCGCCTTCAAGTGTGCCGGCAGGGTACTCGCCGGCGCCGTGCGTGCGAGGGCTGCGAGCTCGTTGCAATTTTGGAGGGGCAGCGGGCGCCGGGCGCCCGCCCCGGTGGACAGCCAGTGCCTGTAGAGCGCAAATTTGGTGCCCGCTCCAAAACCGCTTCAAAAATACGCAAAAAAAAGCGCGAAAACGGTACAAAAAAGCACTCTTTTCGCGCTTTCTTTTGCGTATTTTTGAAGCGGTTTTGGAGCGGGCACCAAATTTGCGCTCTACAGGCACTGGCTGTCCACCGGGGCGGGGAAGGCATCATTGCGGTCACGGCGGTCACGGCAGCGACGCCCAGTGGGGTTGGGGTGGGAAGGAGGGGTGGGAAGGAGGGGGCCAACAGAAAAGGGAGCGGGGCTGCTAAGGGTCAAGCAACCCGTCAATACCGGCCTCCACCGTTGATTGAGCTCAATGCGCGCGACCGCCGGGGCCCACGGGCGGCATAGCCGGCAGCTTCGTTCCGCACGGCGCTGTCCTCTCTCTCTCTCGCACTCGTGAGGCGTCCCGAAAGGATGCGAGAGAGACAGAGCGAAGAAGCACTGTTCGGAATCAGACGGCAGGGCAGGCCCAGAGCGCCCAGGGCACGCCGGAGAGGCTCGCAAAAAAGGCCAGCGCTCGCGCCCTCGTCTGCAGCATGACGGAGTGCCTGCCAACCAGTGAGAGTGACGAGGAGAGGAAACGAACGCTGTCAAGGGCCGAAGACTGCCAAGTGGGCTGGCGGGCCTTGGCGGGCCTAGGCGGGCCGGGGGAGAGGGGAAGGGTTTCTACTCTCCTGGCTACAACAGGTGAGGATACTCAGCACGATGGGACAGGGTATGCGGTGGCCCGGGACCAACAATAATTCCACAATCACATTAAAACCATCATCTCCTATTTCGTTTTTAAAGGAAGGAAATGCCACAAAATAAGGTGTGCGTCAAGGACACCCTGATAATTCATTTAAATTAGATTGTTGGCAGAAGAGTCAGAAAAAAGGGTGGTTCTATTCAGCGCAAGGGTTTGAAAAAACCTTGTTATACCATAGGAAGCACCATATGGGAATGCAAGGAAATGTCAACCTACATTTCAAACATTGATAAAAGAACTTCCAGAACAGCATCATGTGATTTTCTCTAAAGCATACGAGAGTGTATGTAGTGTGAAAAAGCATTAGAAGTACCTGTTAACATTTTACTGATTTGATTTTAATGTACCCAATTATTCCATTTTCACACACTAAACGACTCAACAATAAAAATTTACACATACAAAAATTTAATGTAAAATCTTCAGACACTTTTTTGAAAATGTAGAAAAAGTTCATTTGCCCATAAAAATTACCAGATAAACAGGAATTGATTGTGAGGCTGTGTTGGGTTGTAGTTCAAAGAACACTTTTCATGGCACACATCACAACCCTTAACACAGAGGCTCACCTCATACCTTTCGTGCGAGACACCTTTGCAGATCATTGCAATGAAGGCACCGAAACCACAATCAGCCCAGAGCCGCGAGTACAGCGAGTGCTAGACAGGGTAGGCTAGGCCCTTGTGCACCGCGTTCACCGCGCAACGCAACGCAACGCTGCAACGTACGGCGCTGTGCCAAGTCGGACGTGTCAAGTCACTGTCCAAACAACAAGCTGACACGCCAGGGCCGCCAGGGACTTGCTGTCCGTTCCAGGCAGTGTGTTTATCGGCAAGTTCCTGAAGGACGAGGATGAAACGGAAGGAAGCCAAACAGCAGGGGCAGCCAGCAGGGGCCGTGGGAGAGACAGGCGAGACGACGCAGCAGCAGCAATTGGGGGTTGGTTCCCGTTCAAAGCGAACGCTCGGGACCCAGGCTGAGGCCACAAGTGGGAGTCCCACAGTTACTGTCCCAACATCAGCACGTAGCACTTTCCTCGAGCTTACCTCAGACTCATCACCTCGCACGCAGATGCAAGCGGCCCGTCGCCTGAAGCCGTCCTCGTCGTATATCCTCGTCGAATTCGGCTTCTCCTTCACCATTTTCAGTGGATAAATGTAGCACTCACACGACACACGTAAAAAATAGATTGTACAACCAAAAGCCACACTACTACAAGCAAGTATTTTGGCGCACAGGCCGACTAAAACCAATATAAGTAAAAAAATATATAAAATAATATGGGATCCTGGGCTCGGCAAGTCCCACCAAGTCTATCGTTATTTAATAACAGTCGTAGTCAACCGGAGACTGACGTTTAGTGACGAAATTTCTGAACACGAAAACATTTTCGGCGAAATCCCGAGCTCGGATCACTTCACTTCACTTCAAGACTAACGCTTTCAGCACTCGAAACTCCGGCCACGGCACGGCCACAGACTTGAGGCTGTCCACACTCCGACAGCACGCAAGCACACAGCACAGCGGCTGGCGCTGGCTGCGACGTAACATTAGCTGGCGCCATACTGGATTTAGATTGGCTGGTCGCTAGACGCTAGATTGCCCCTTGCAGTTCGCATTGCCGTTCCTTTCGGTTAAGTTCGGGTTCGTTCGGCTTTTTGATCTGACATCTATAATTCTCATATTGTGTGAGGTCAACTGGTCGAATTGCAATATGGATATGCAAGTCTACTTCTGAGTTCCCGACTCCCGTCTGCAGCCTGTCTGCTCGCTCTGTTGCCCTGAAAAGAATCCAAATTGACACTCAAAGAAGTCACTTCAGCATCGAAGCGAAGATGGGTAACCCGTTCAAGGTTGTTTGGGACTACTATGAAAAGTCTGGAGTTCGGAGAGGTTAGTTAAACCACATGACTCCTCTGTACTGTCAAAACTACATGCATTCGAAGGAGTCCTAGCCTATCACTTTCTTTGATTGGTGTCTTTCGAATGTTTCAAAAGCTTTCCCCTCGTGCTCCTTGATCCCCTCGTAACTTTTGTTTCGTTCATATTCTTTCACTGTCAACTGTTTACAATGCTCACTTTATGTTTTCTCATTCCAGATTTGCCTTGGCTTAAAAGAATGATGGTCGAAATTCCCCATGTACCTATTGGAACTGCTGTGATGGTTACCTGCCTTACCCTCACTTATACTTATGTGTTTGGCTTCTATAATGCTGGGATTGGATTTCAGGAGAGGTATACAGGTATGTATGAAAATACTAACTGGCCAGATACTTGTGATCTGCCTGGTTGTGGCTACAACATCAGAGATTCCTTGTTGTTTCACTGTTCCTTCTCTCGTATTGATCAATTTTCTTCAAATTGTTCATACTGCACTCATTTTGTCGCTCTAGTAATCGAACCAAAGCCCCTATCATACGTATTTCATTTGATCAACGCGTAATTTTGGATAATTTATTTCCATTGCAGTCATGAGGCCTGGTGATCCCCGGCTTGCCAAGTATAGAGAAGATGTAATCAACGCTGAAAAAATTTATGGTAAATAAGTTTTTCAGCTTGTTAGAGTATTTACCTTTTTATTAAAATTCTTAAACTCATCTTCATCATGGTACTAATATGAAGACGTGAATTTTTGTTGTTTGTGGCCCACATGTCTGAAAACAATGTTATTAAATAAATTGCAATAAACTGGTTTAACAGTAAGATGTTTCCTTTTTTTATTGTGTCAGTACATAGACGTAAGTAAATATCTTTAGATAACAATGGGATACCAGCTTCTGAGGGTATTTAACAACTAGATGCTGTCATGATGCTGTTGAATCCTTGGGATGAAATTTGATTTTTGGCTTTGGTAACTTGATAAAACACATTCCATTAGATGATTTTTCTCTACCACACAGGACAACTATGGAAAGAGTATTAACTGAAGCAGATTCCTCCATCTGGCTTATGTAGTGATTAATCCTAAACAAAAAGATAACAATATTTCAGGTACCAAAGAAATGAGCTATCAGTAATGGAAGTTGCAATTGGTTTATATTACTTACTCATTGACAATTTTATCCTCTTGACGTAACAACGAATCACTCTCATTTGCTGAGAGTTGGATGTGACCCACTGTTAAAAAGCTGCTACTCGCAGCAGCTTTGTCAACCACTGACAGATTTGAGTCGCCAATAATGCAATTTACCCCACCAGTCTTTGGATTTTCTTCACTAGATCCCTCATCTAAATCACCTTCACTTGAATTGCATTGATCATAGGTGGTGGTTGTTGGATCAAGAAAATCAATATATTTTTCCAATATATCAGGAGTTGATACAATAGTTGCTGGAATGTTGGATTTAAATTTTAATCAATGCACAGAATGAAGGATGTAATGTAAGTGAAAAAAAGAGTGAAAAGAAAAGAAACAAACCATGCAAGCCTGAACGTGAAGTCAAACTAAATAAACTAGTAGCATAATGACATAAATCCTCTTTTATCTTCTTTTTAACCAGTGAAGAGTGCTTCTTTTTACCATGAGTGATATTAGTTGTTGCACTAGTTTCAAAGCCTGTTCGAACCATTGGCTGTGCTTGGTTTTGAAGGACTGCATCTCCAAACTCAATATCTATCAAATACACAGAAAAATACTCAAAAAAATTTACATACACACTCATGCACATAAGGTGGACATACTGTATATACATGCAACATACGATGATTGAGTTTTAGTTGAACCAACTTGAGAGAAGCCAAAGAATCTTCAACAGGACTGTGACCTGCATGGCCCAATTGAATTTGTTCACCCAAAAATCGTTCTGATAGCAATGACAGTTTTGACTTCCTGTAACGATCTCCTGATATGTTAAAAATGACACTGGTGTCAATGCAATATGGGTGTATAATCTATAGAAACAAGAAAAATTATTGAAATGAGGTTATAAAAATTTTGAAGAAAATTGGTGATTCTAATAAGGTTGCTAACCTTTAAAGCTTTTAAGTCGAACTGCAGGGATTGACCAACTAAAATGGCATCAGGCTCCAAATATTCTCTGATGAAATCTTGTACGTCCTCCAATCTTGTGGTAACATTTTTCATCATTTGAGCTGTTATTCCAGAATATTTTGTCAAGAAATTGGTGATTTCATTGTATGGTAAAACTAATGTATCTAGAACAGTCTACAATAAGGTAGAAGCAAGAGTAGAAGTAAATATCATTAATCATTGGATAAAAATAACAGAAAGTTTCATGGAACAATAACTGTTTGGTACACACCTCATGTTTTTCATTCACAATGCCAACTCTTGTGACTTCACTAGCACCAATAGAAGTCATGCACATTTCACAATCCAAACCGTACATGGGTGAATGGTTGTTGACCTCCTTGTATTGCGATTTTGTAAGCACAAAGGTGCTATACCTAAAACGTGTCAAATAATTTAAATTTAACAAACCCATTTACAAAATATTTACTTTTATAAAAAATGAAAATTTTGGCGGATTGAGCATACTTTTCTCTCATCTCATTGTTTAATAGAAGAGGGTAGCCTTCTTCAATCATTTGCCACGCTGAAAGCAATAAAGCTGTCCTTGGAAATTTGTCTGATGGATGCAATTCAAGTGGTTCCTCTGGAATCGCAGGTTGTGTTTCATTACTATCAGAAGGTGCAGATCCATTCACTGAATTGTCTTTTTCATTTTTTGATTGGTCCCTTTCAGAAACAGTATTCTCTGAAGACTTTAAGTGGTCCACTGAATCCTCTTTGGGTTCACTTGATAGAGACAGTTTAGAGCCACTTTTGTCAGATTGATGAATTTCTGATGAAGAAGGTACCTCTTCTCTCAAGTCAATACTAAGATTAGCAGGGGTTTCAGATTTGTCCTCTACAGGAAAAAATGCCCTTAATATTTTGAAAACACCACTATCAGGTTTCTTTAATGCATTATCAATAGAACCATGAGCTGAAACAATTAGAAATTGATTATTTATAAATGTGGTCAACACAATGAAAGCCCCTAAGAGTACATAAACTACAACTTACTTTTAACCTGTCTTTGATACTCCAAGAAAGGCATCGGTACAGCACAGAATTCTTCGACTAGGTCACCACAATATGCAGTGGGCATAATAACTTCGAGGCAAATTGGATAAGATGAGTTGACAAGAGCAGGGAGCTTTTCTTTCGCCAGAAGATAGTCACTTATTCCTGCTCCCTCAATAAAAAGTATACGCACAGACTTCAGTCGACTAACTCTATCTAACTTACACCACCTATTGAAAAAGAAAAGAAAGTAAAGGTTTACAAAAGATTAATTTATTATTACTCCTAGAAGATGTGTTGAATGGTCTGTTGCTGAACACCCAAAATTGCCAAAATGCGCTCACAAGCAACACCCAGCTGGTGATAAGCCATCAAACTGGTGGCAGTCAAAAACTGGGGAAATAAGGCAAGACACATCCATCAGTAAGTGAAAAAAATTACCTTGGTACCAAAGGTGACGCGTTTTTCAGCATGCTTTTCAAGACAAGACTCTGTAAATCTGATAAAAATATTGGAACTCTATCAGAAGTCGGAATGTCAAGCTTGGCTTCTAATCCAGATTCTTTAAGAATCAAAGATGCTGATCTCTGTAAAACAGAATAATCAATAATGTTGACAAACGATGTATTAGAAAACCTGTCAAAAAAGGGTAAAAATCTTACAGTTTTCCAAGTTTCTCTTAGAACAGCGCGAAGTTGAGCATATTCAGCCTCAGAATATTTTCTTTTACTTTCATCAACCAGTTCAGATCCGGCCTCTTGAATGTCATCCTGTTAACAAAACAATTGATGTGAAAAAGAAATGATACTGGAAGTCATAAGCCATACAAATATTGAACTCACACTGTGAGCAGTGCCATTGCTTAATTTTAACTTTTTGCTGTTTGGTTCATCAGAGGTGTCAGGGGGCGGATTAGAATGTTCTTTAACGTTCGAAGTAGAGGCCTCCTGTGGAGAAAAAATATTACTAAACATGGCAAGAAGAGGGCAGATATTTTCCATGGAAGGCAATACTTGCACACTAACCATGCGATCTCGAGCATTAAGTTGGGCTATTTCTACGAGAGCTGCCATTTTGCGCATTTTGTTCTCTCTTCGTGATTGCTTAGTTTTCTTCTCGTGTTCCATTTCCAAAGCCAAATTGTGTTACCAAATTCAGTTCGAAACCGATTAACTTAAAATTTCAATGTATGGACAACAAACACGACAAGACGGAGGTTATGTTGTTCTCGCCATTCTGCTTTTGACCACTGCGACCAACTGCGACCACTGATCGGCATGGAGGTAGGGAACACACCCAGACACGCCGCCGTGGGTTGTGCGTGCAACCGTTCTGTTTGTGGTCACGTTCTGGAGACGTTGAGATTATTTTGTGGATTTCACCCTCAGTGAAGCGATTTTAAGTCGCGGAGAGGTTCTGAATATACTTGTGTGTTCTCTCGAGTTTCTTATTTTCTACTCTTTACCATGGTAAGTTTGTATGTTTCCAGACCGTTTCCCGAGTTTCGGAAAAACTTCCATTTACCCTCGCACACGTGCGAACAGGTTACCGGCGTACCTGTAACGCAATATTATGGCCTGCTTTAGATATTGCTTTTATTTTTATTGTACACAATCTTCTCAAATTGTTCTCACTTTCTTTAAATTTGGTTATTTTTGCTGATGAATAATTATTTGCCAGTGGCCTAAAGCCTTGGCTTACGTTGTAGTATGTTGAATTTTTCACATTGTCACTTAATTTGCTTGTGCCTTTCTTTAATGATGATTTCTTCTTTTCAGACTGAAGAAGTGAACCCCAAGGCCTACCCTTTGGCTGATGCCACCTTGACTGCTAAGATTCTCAACCTTGTGCAGCAAGCCGTTAACTACAAACAGCTTCGTAAAGGAGCTAATGAAGGTACGGCTCCTGCGTTTCAATGTTTTATTGTAATTGCTTTCAGTTGTCTTATTTACTCTAGTCTTTTATTTCACAGCAACTAAGACCCTCAATAGAGGCCTCTCCGAATTCATCATTATGGCAGCTGACGCAGAGCCTTTGGAAATTCTCCTCCATCTCCCTCTGCTGTGTGAAGACAAGAATGTGCCATATGTATTCGTCCGTTCAAAGCAAGGTAAATCCCAAATCTGAGGGTGCTCCAGTTCATGTCATTGTGTCTTGTGTGTTAAACTTGTGTCTTTTTCAGCTTTGGGCCGTGCTTGTGGAGTGTCCAGGCCAACTGTTGCAGTGTCTGTCACTGTAAATGAAGGATCTCAGCTCAAACCTCAGATCACATCCATTCAGCAGGAAATTGAACGGCTTCTTGTGTGATATTATTGTATACTAAGTGCATTTAGTTTAGATAAGGTGACTGAGGTCATCATTATATACTGTGGCTAAATTCAAAACTTGACTTAACAAATTATGTTCAAAAAGAGATTTTGATTTTTTTTGTTTTTATATGAATTGACATATTTTGTTACCAGGAGGGTTTTCTTTGAACACTTTCATTCCAATCTTGTATCTCTAAATGATTGATTCAATATAACAAATTTAGTCCAGTTTTTCAAGTGTTGTTTTTGCTCTACTGCCTTGCTCGGGATCAACTTGGGCATTCTGGTTGACAGAATTACAGAATACTTCAGTGACAAAGTTGCAAGTTTATTAAATCATTTGACAGAATGAACTCCCAAAATGGAAAATGAAGTTGGCATTGGAGAGGACTGTACATACAGGCTAAGCTTAGCATGATGTAAGTTCTTGAAGCGAAGTACAGGACCAACCAATTTATAATTGTAAATGTATCTTGCACTGTGTGTGCAGAGGCTAAATGCTCCTTAGGTTGAGTGCTAAGCAACTCTCACAATTAATGAACAGTAAATGTGGTGCTTCATCGTCATCTCAATACTGCCGGATCAAGCTAAAACAAAATGAATCAATGAAAGAGGCATAAATGAATATCTTCTTATAAAATGCGTGCCTCAGTTTCATCTCAAATAAAACAATATAAATTTAATAATCTTGGGGACTACACCTTGGGGGTGTGTGGTGTGGTTGTGGCTTGCTGCAGTCGGTGGCTCTTGAGGGCGTCTTTGTTTGAGAAGTACTCGCCACAATCCAGACATGTCCTGTTGTAGCACTTGGAGAAGTGCCGCAGGATGTGCCAGTGAGTGTAACTCCCCGTTATTGTCTTGAACACGGTTGTGCAGAAGTAGCACTTGCGGCCGTTCGGGTAGGACGTGGTGTACTTTTTGGCCATTGCGTCAATCCAGCGCGTTGCGGACGGGCTGGCGCCGCTGGCGGACGGGCAGGTCGACGCCGAGGCAGCAAGGGTGGGCGGACAGCGCTTCCGACCCCCGCTGGAGAACTTGGGCTTGGTGGCGGCGGTGCGGGTGCGGCGTGTCCTCGGGGTCTGGGGCACGGCCGGCACAGGGGGCACGGCCGGCACAGGGGGCAGGGCCGGCACAGGGGGCAGGGCCGGCACAGGGGGCAGGGCCGGCACAGGGGGCACGGCCGGCACAGGGGGCAGGGCCGGCACGGGCGGCTCGGGACTCGGTTCAGCCTTCGGCCTCAGACGAGGACCCAGGGCCGACCTAGGGCCAGGTCCTGGGGGTGTTGGCACAGCGCGCACAGCGGCACCGACACTGGGGACACGAGGGTCATCCGCTGGAGCAAGGACCGCGGTGGGGACGCGGATGTCCTCCTTGGCCGTGGTCGTGGGCGCGGCTGTGGCTAGGGCTTTCCTGGACGGCGCCGTCCTTGAAGACGGCGTTCTCGTCGGCCTGAGCCGTGGCGCGGGTCGCCGTCGCGGCCGCTCCGTCTTGATGACGGTCTTGGTGGCCGTCTTGGTGCAGCTGCAGGCCTTCTTGACGGAAGCAGGCCCGGGGCGCGAGCAGCGAGCGCACCGGCCGGCAGGGGCGGCAGGGGCCAGGGGGGCGTCGGCGGCTTTGAGCGGCTCCGGGTCCAGACTGTCACCAAGTAACAACATCAGGGGCAGCGGCTCAGCGGCCACGGCACATTCCATGAGGAGTGGCGGCTGTTTCTGAAAACACGCTAAGTTGAAACCAAACCGTCAGCGCCATGCACACCAAGTGGGCGGTGCGCGACATACCTGGGTCCGGGAGTCGCTTTGGCCAGAGCGTCCCCGTTGCGGTGGCCCTGGCCCTGGCCCTGGCCCTGGCGGGGGAGGGAGGGCGACGTCCTCGTCTTCATCGTCGGTGGCCGTCAAGTCTATAGCCACTACTTTGACGGTGGGGTCGGGGTCTACGTTCTCCAAGTCTTCCTCGGAATCATCGGCCAGGTTTATCTCGATGACGCGGGTCCGCCGGGCGTTCTCGGGCGAGTCGTGCTTGTCGGCGTGCTGCAGGAGGTCCTCGGCTCGCTGGAACACCTCGCCGCACACCATGCAGAGGTAGGAGCGAAGGTGCCCCATCATGTGGCGCACGTTGGCCGTGTGGTTCTCCGCGACCGCGCCGCACATGCGGCACGCGTGGCTGTACCACTCCATGGCACGGCGAAGCACGCCAAGCAAAGCGAGACACCTGCAACACATCCACATGAACCACGTCAACGCTTTCCAAAGTTTCGTAGTGCTGCGCCCGGAACGGCTGACACTCTGGGCACGAGTCGCGACGCGTAGCGACGCGAGGCGGTGGCGCCGTGTCCGCAAGCAACCCATCGAACACAGCCGCACGGCAGCAGGCAGGAGCCCTCGCTCGAAGAGGCAAGGGGAAGGGGGCGAGGCGAATTAAAGCCCCCGCCCCCTCCACCAATGTTAATCTTTGCGGCCGGGTGCTCCTCCGTGCGGAGTAGGAAGCAAATCAGTTCAGCAACAAAGGGAGAGATTTTCTGTACATTCTCGATTGAAAGAAATTACAGGCAAGAGCGAGACGAGTTCCGATACAGAAAGAGCAAATCTTTACAAGAAACTGCGAGCTCAACCGAGCTGACCTGAATCCCACAAAACCTGCGAAATAGCAAAAGCAAAAGCCGGTGGCGAATCGTGGGTCCAGAATTAGGCTCAGTGCCGGCGACACTTTGAGGTTAGGGTGTCCGCACTACACTTTGAAAATCCTTCTATTCGAGCTCTAAATGGCGATGACACCAACCAAACAACGACCGAGGCGTCGCGCTCACCTTTCTTCAACAGGATGGCCTCAGCAGCACAGCGCTCTGCAGCGATACGGCGATGCAAGACGAAATCACAACACGGGGGTACGGCAGTACGGCGGCGGCGCAGTGTTGTGCTTCCGAGGCGGGAGGCGGGGCGGGGGCTGCTGGGGCGGGCAGGGTGGAGGCGGAGGGGGTGGGGGGTGGGGGTGTAGTGGAAGGGAAGGGGTTGGAGTAGGAGGACTGTAGAGCAACTCGTGTCGACGGACGGTGCGGTGATAGCGGGCTGCTTTGCTTGCTCCTCGCTCCGGCAGGAAGGGATCGGTCCGGTTTCCGTATGACTCATCTGCGTCCCGACTCGACAGACTCGACTCGACTGCCCGCGGCCCGGGCGGACCGGGCGGGCGGGGCGGTCGCGGCGGTCGCGGAACGGGGAATACGCAAACCTCGCACTTCCTCGCACGGCCCGTGCGGCCGCCGGTCTACTTACTATCTCTATCTCTCTCGCACGGAAACGAGACCTGCCGTGAGGGCGGGAGGGAGGGACGGTAGGGGTGAGCCTCTCTTTTCCTGACGCAGTTGCGTTGAAACTGAGCCACCCCCAAGGGAAAGGGCAGGGGGGGGGCAGGGTTCGGAAAGTTACTCAAATTTTTGTAACTAGTACCGTTACAGTTACTTGTCCCAAAAGTTTTACTAGTTACTGTTACCGTTACTTTCGTCCGGAAAAGTAACTAGTATCGTTACTGTTACCGAAAAATTTGTAACTAGTTACTTTTACTGTTACTTTTTGGCAGAGTAGAGAAGTTCAATGCATAAAAAAGCCCCCCCTCCCCCGGTCACTTTTCCAAGCTGATCGGGTTCAACAAACGTCGTCTCTTCATTGCTTCTGCGACCAAGGTCAAGTGCACAGCCTCGCCCATTGCGACCGTACTTTCACGCCATCTTTTCATAATTGACCTGCCGCGCCGATTCCCAAACATGTGAGCCCCCGACCTGCCCGTCTCCTGCCTTTGTCTATTCAGGCCAGGCAGTTGCAGTGGGAGAGAGACAGGATGCCGCGCTCCGTCCTTTATGCCATTCTCGGGACCAATAAACCAGGAAGGTTGACCGGCAAGGACTATGGCGTCCGGAACGAATTGTCGCACCCTCTCTCCCTGACAACACACGTGGGGACAAAACAAAGTCAATCCGAGAAAAATATCTCATCAGCGCCGAGTTTTGCCTCACGTGTGCGCGAGAAGAAAAGGGAAAATGGTGGAGCCGGCGAGCGAAATGTAACTGTAACGAACAACTAGTACTTTACCGGCAAATTTGTAACTAGTACCGATACAGTTACCGAGCCTGAGAAAAGTAACTAGTTACTAGTATCGTTACTCAAAAAAGTAACTAGTACCGGTATTGTAACTAGTTACTACCTGTAACTTTCCGAACCCTGGGGGGGGGCGTTGTTTTGAAACATATGTAGACTAGACCCACCGCGTCACTTACTCTGCGGGGGCGGGGGAGTCGGGTTAGTCGTGCGTCCGACTAAGTCTGACAACAGCTGCGCGGCCGCAACGCCCCAAGGTCACCAGAAATGGAGGAGCACCCGACAAAGTGGGCGCGGTGCGGGCCCTGCCCTTTGCCGCGTCGCGCGCCTTCCGCGCTCTATCTCCGCCCGCCTCGGCGCCCGAGATAGTACCCCGCTGATCTACTCAATCCCGCGCGCCTTTGTTTGGCCGCCGACCCCGACTGCCTTGCCTGCGAGCACCTTTTATCGTCTCCGAAAATACAGTACACATGCGGCGTCGCGCACACAGTACACGTGCTTGAGGTGTTGTTGGGGCGGGGGGACGCCCACTGTCTCACTGCAGCGAGTAGAGGCACGAAGTAGAGGCTTCTAAACCAGGAATCTGCTGCAGACGGGGTGAGGGGTGGCCCCGGCCAGGAAAAGCAGGCCCACGGCCCACCAAAAAGGTAAACAGAAAGTCACACTTAGGCTGGCGGCCATTAAAGGCAGGCTGCCAAAGACTTGCCATACATGTGCCATGCATGTGCCATGGCTGCGCTAGCCGCGCTATCAGTGCTCCTCGGCCCGCGCCGTCCGTGCCGTCCCCGCGCGGCTCACGGGACTCTTTCACACTTGCCCGGCCTCCGACGCCTGCTGCAGACGGAGGACGAGGGCCAGCGAGCCATGGCGGAGGAGGCTCCCAGTCCGTACACAGGCTGCGGCAGCGCGGTCGGGTCTGAGGTCGGGCCGGCCGCTCGGGGCCGCGTCCTGGTGCAGCATGCCGGCGCCATGGCAGGTGAGGTCCTCGGTTCGACCCCCAGGTTTGGGACCGCTCAAGTGTTTTGCTGAGTCCGACCTTTGCGGCACGCAGCCGCCAACGCGGGCACCATCGTGGGGCTCGCGCTGGGCTGGAGCTCGGCGGCGGCGGAGGTCCTGGACGGCGCGCAGGGCATGCCCGTGACCCTGGACGAGTGGTCCTGGGTCGTCTCGCTGTTCTGCGTCGGCGCGTCCGTCGGCGCGGCCTCGGTGGGCAGGCTCGTGCACTCGCTGGGCCGCAAGACGGTCATCCTGGCCGTGGGGCCCGTCACCATCGTCGCGTGGGCGCTGCACCTGTGGGCGTCGTCGGTAAGGGCCGCGCCGGGCCGCGGCAACTGGCACTGCAACTGGCACTGACGCCCACTAATGCCCACTGACGCCCACTGCGCGGTGCTGCAGGTGTGGATGCTGTACGCGGGGCGGCTGCTCGTGGGCGCGGCGTGCGGGGCGGCGTGCGTCGCCACGCCCATCTTCGTGTGCGAGATGTCGGAGCCCCGCATCCGCGGCGCCCTGTCCTCCTACTTCGAGATCCTCCTGTGCGTGGGCATCCTCGTGGTCTACGTCTTCGGCAAGCTAGTAAGCATGGCGTTGGCTGCGACTGCGAGCGCGACTGCGACCGCGACCCCCGGCCCCCGGTTCACTGTCTGGCACTCCGTTGCAGCTGCCGGTGTTGTGGCTGAACGTGGCGTGCCTCGCGGTGTCCGTGCTGCACATCCTGGGCTTCATGTGGTTCCCGGACACGCCGCGCTGGTTCCTGCTCCGCGGCCGCGAGGAGGACGCCAAGAAGGCGCTGCTCTTCTACCGCGGCCCGCACTACGACGTGGACGCCGAGCTGGCCCTGCTCAAGGTCGGCGTCAAGGAGAGCGCGGCCACGCCGGCCGGCTGGAAGGCGTTCGGCACGCGCGCCGCCAAGAAGGCCCTGGCCATCACCATGGTGCTCATGATCCTGCAGCAAATCACGGGTGTCAACGCCATCACCTTCTACGCCAGCCAGCTCTTCAAGGTCAGGGGCTGCCTCCCAACCCCTCACTTTTGAAATTTTGATCAGTGTACTTCGGTTTTCCGTACTTTCTGAATCCGTGCCGCAGGAGACTGGCTCGTTCGACGCGTACACTGCCAGCATCGTCGTGGCGGCCGTGGAGGTGGTGTCCGGGGGCGTGTCCATGTTCTTCGTGGACACCCTCGGCCGGCGGGCGCTGCTGACGTTCTCCTCCGTCTGCATGGCGGCCTGCACCGGTCTGATGGGCGGCTACTTCTACTTCAAGGTGGGAGGGGCTGCCTGGGACGTAGGCCACCCAACGCGCTTCAGCGCACGGTGGGCGGTGGAGCCGCGACGCCGCGACGGCGAGGCGCACACGCATTTCCGTATCGTTGCCTTGACTTCTTTTATCAGCCACCACAACCCCATTCTTTGTCTCGGTCTGCCCGAGATGAGTAACCCGGATGCTTGCATTACCCCCACCAATAAGCTTGAATCTCGGCAGGAGTTTCTGGGGCGAGACGTGTCGAGCGTGTCGTGGCTGCCCATCATCCTGGTCTGCGTCTACATGTTCACCTTCACCACCGGCTGGGGCGCTGTGGTCTGGGTGTTCCTCGGCGAGATCTTCCCGGACAACATCAAGGGGGTGGCGACGGCCGCGTGCGCCGCCACGGGCTGGTGCGCGTCCTTCCTCGTCACCAAGTTCTACCCCGGCGTGGCCGCGGAGCTCGGCAACTACGTGTGCTACTGGGGCTTCTTCGCGCTCGGCGTGCTGTCGTGCGTCTTCGTCGTCCTGGCCCTGCCCGAGACCAAGGGCAAGACCCTGGACGAGGTCCAGGCCGAGCTGTAGTTTGGAGGGTGGGAGAGGGGACGAAGCGGGTTCATGGCATTTTGAACTTTCTTGGTTTAAGTCTTGCATGCTGTACATGTTTTGTAATACCAATTTTATAGTAAAAACGTAAAAACTTTTTTTAAAAAGATAAGTAATGGGTGAAACTGTTCAACAACAATGAACGAAGTTCTCGACGGGCCTGCTCTACATTGGTTCCAAAGCCCTTCTTGGTCGGGGGAAGGGGACGAGGGAGAGGGAAAGAGGGGGGGGGGAGGTCGTAGGATCAAGCCACCCGACGAGGGTTCGAAGGGCACGCCAAATTGACCAAGGCATCCGGAAGGGAACCTTGAAGGGGATGGCTGAGGCTGAGGGCGCAGCCCGGCGCAGCCCGGCGCAGCCGCGCCTTGCCGTCCTCGTCCTCCGCGACCGCGACCACCACCGCGACCCTGAACGGCCAGAAGACGCGCCGCGGAGACAAAGGGAGTGAATGAGCCAAAGGGAGCCGAAGGGAGCCAAGGAGAACCAGACCCCACTCGCTTGTCGCCGGGGAAAGAACAAAGTAACCAAATTTATGGAACCAGCAGCGCACCATCTAGCGGTGTACGAACTACGTCAGCATCTGCACTTGTCACGAAATGAGAGATTTGTTTTTTGACAGCAGCGGCCGCAAAGTGGGCGCCCTACCAGTTCCTGCATTTTGATTTCTTCTATTCTCCATCTCACGGCAAGTGAAAGGGTCTATTACCCGACCACGTGGTACCAGCCAAATTAAAAATTAAAAATTAAAATTGAAACGAGAGAGAGAGAGAGAGAGAGAGAGAGAGAGAGAGAGAGAGAGAGAGAGAGAGAGAGAGAGAGAGAGAGAGAAGAGAGAAAGAGAGAGAGAGAGAGAGAGAGAGAGAAGCGGTTGGCGATGTAAATTCATTGCTTCCCCTCGCGTCCCACACACTCTGCGGTGCCGGGTATGCGGGGAGAAGGGAAGGGACGTGGCGGGCGGCAGCTGCTCTGCTCACTGGGGCCCCGCGTCGCCCCGCGTTGTGTTGGCCCAGAAAAAAGTTGAAAGTGGGGAATGCCTAACGCGAATTTGTTATCCGGGATGGAGTGACAGCTAAGCTGGCAGCCCAATGGCGGAGAGGCTCAGCGGGGCGGAGGTCTGGCCCAGGACAGCGGCCACAGCGGCCTGGGGCTGCCTGGGGCTGCCTGGGGCCCATCGTGGTGTGCCAAGACCCGCTTCAGCTGCTCGTTGTTCGCTGCGTCCTCAGCTGCGTCCGCGCCGCCACACGCACGGCGAACGTGCACCTTTTTTTCCCATTTAAATGCGGAGAAGATAAGAAATAATCCGCACTGCCGTCCGGGCGTGGGCCTTGGTCTGGGTCGCGCGAGGAAAATGACGTGTGTGATCGCGATTACAAAACACGGATGGCATGGAAATTGAACGCAAGCAATACGGGTTCCACGCATTCTGCCCGTTCCCCCTTTCATGGCGGCGAAGCGGAGGCGAGGCAGACTACGTTTACCTGGAAAACAACCATCAACATCCTGACTGCCAATACTCATCTCGCACCGAGAGAGTGGCCGAAAAAAAAAACCCGCGCAGTTGGAAACAGTGTTTCGGTCCGCTTTTCTGTTGGCATGGCCACTGGACACAGCCCGCGGGCATACTGAGGGTTGCCCATTCGATGGACACGCCATTCCAGATAACTACGGTTTTTTTCCGATCCCCAGGTTAAAAGTGAGGATTTTCGACCAAAACATCATGAAGTAACTTTGTGATACAAACTATATTGTTATGCGAAGAAATAGTTCCCCCGTACCAACCACGCCAAGAGTTATGGAAATTTCCAACTGTTCACTTTAATATTTGTTTTCCTGCTGGCGGAGATTTTATTCAACGGTTCCTGAGGGTCTCCGTCTGGCAGGAGCTTGGTTTAGCAATCACTGGGGACCGTTGCGCCGCGCGGGCGAGCCCTTTGACGTTTCTTATTCCGCTTCTTCTCGTCCCGAAGGACCTCGGCACCGTCACAGTCCGGCCGCGAGTCCAATGCGGCGTCCCCGGCGGCCCCGGCGGCCCGCCACCAGAGGCAGTGACTGCCCGTCTCGGCCCGTCCCACGCGGAGCGGCATGAGTGAGTGTCCGCGTGCAAAATGCCAAAATGCCCCCGACGTGATTTTTCATATCGCCCGAACCGCGGCAGCCATGGCAGCCAAAGCGGGCCGGAGTGGGTTTTGGAGGGGCGGAGGAGGGGGAAGTTCCGGGTGCTTCCCTGGGTAGGGGAGGGGACAAGGGCCGATGAGGAGGCGACCCAGCGAGGTCCACGACAAGACCATTGTTATTACCGCAGACACCGAGACGCGCAGGGCCGGCGTGAGGGCGGCGCGGGGGCGGCGCGGGGGCGGCGCTGTGGCCGGGGGACCACACGGCGTTATTGCTCTTTTGGCATTCGTCCCCAGCAGGGATACCAGCAGGGCCCAGCACGGCCGGCGCCGCCCTGGGGACCGCCGGGGACCGCACTGCCGAACATTCGAGACGCCCTCCTGCGCGAACGCGCGTTGAGAAATCCAAACTGAAGAAGGAGAGTGCCGCGCGTTTGGAGGGGAATAAATGTCTAGTCGCGCGGTCGCGCGGTCGTCCGTCGCGCAAGCCGTGGGTGGGCGCCTTGCCCCTTGCCGCGCGACCAACGCCACTCCTCCCTCGGGGATTTCTCACTGTTTGTGTTTTGCCCCGATAAGCATCGCACCCGGGCAGGACAGGCAGAGAGGCCGAGCCAGGCCCTGTGTCCGAGAGAGAACGAACACGTCGTATGGACCCCTCCCCTCCGGCCCTCCCCTCCGGCCCTCCCCTCCGGCCCTCCCCTCCGGCCCTCCCCTCCGGCCCTCCCCTCCGGCCCTCCCCCGTCCCACGTAGCACCGCTAAGCCATGCCACGTTGTCTTTTTTGCCTTGGCTATCCCTAGCCACGAACCGACACCCCGCCCCGCCCCGCCCCGCCCCGCCCGGCCCAGCCACGGCCCGGAAGACGACGGCGCTGGAAATTGAATCGCTACTCCGCGACATCTGTTTTTATTTTCCCTGCGCTTTCCGCTCTCTTTATTTTTCCTCTTTCTGTTTGTTGGGCGTCGCTGCCGCAGCCGCCGCCGCCGCAAGGCCCCTTTGCGTTAGGCCGACCCGGAGCGGGGTTTGTCACGTAATTCATAGGCTGCGGAGCTAGTGGATGTCTAGCAGGTACATAACCACTTGGTCGCGTCGCGGATGCTGATAAAGGGAGAGGGGGCGCGGGGCCTGGGCAAGGGGCCAACTTGACTTGGTCAGAACTTGGAATTAAAACTGGGAGAAGAGGAACACCGTCAGTCCGCCAGATAGTTGATCCGAGTAAAAATGCCCCATTCACAACGCCACATATTCGCCGTGAGGTCTCGTCTCGTTTCGTCTCGTCTGACCAGTGAAACCGGGCCTCCAGCCACAACGGGAAGCAGCTTATACGTTCCGAGTGTGGTGGAGGGACGTCGCCACGACGTAGTTTTCCTTCTCTCTCACTCTTACTCACTCTATCCCTCTGCCTGCCCGCCCTCCGTCGCCATGTGAGGCCGCGACTGGCGCCGCGCATGTTGTCTGAGAAGGATCGCAAACTTCGTGGAGCAGGCCGAGCAGAGCAGCCCGCTACCGAGGGCGGCCGGCCGGAGCGCCCGCGGACAGCCGCATAGGCCGCCCGCACCACAGGCGTGTCGACGGGATGCCTCGCTGCATTACCATTACCACTACGGGCTAGACCACAACTGATCGTAGGCTATTGGGCCTAGCAGCGTTGATGATGGCGGTGATGATGATGATGATGATGATGATGATGCTGCTGATGATGATGATGAGGTGGGGGGGGGAGTATCACTTTTTGCCTATTTACAGGGCGGTTAAGTGCTGCTTTTTGTCTACATTTTAGGCGGCTTTCTAGGGCATTTGGAGGGGGGGGGGAAATTGCCCTTTTGCGCCCCCCCCCCTCTTTTTCTGGATTCGCGCTTGACAAGATGTCACGTTCCTTAGAGCATTGTGTCACATTTGTTTGAACGTGATTAAGCTAATTTATGGCTGATTCACGTCCAAACGAATGTGACGCAATGCTCTAAGGAACGTGACATCTTGCCGCGTTCGTCTCAACGTGACGTCACGTTTCTGGAATGAGGGTGGCCTCATTTGAAGAAGTGGGGCGCAAAGCACGCGAAACAAAAATAAAAATCAACCTCTCAAAACAATTGTATGAAACCTGTTATGATATCTCGATTGGTTTCGATCACGGCTCCAGGAAGCCACTTCCATCTTCTCCTGCGGGAGCGGGGCGTCGTGGCTTGATTGCAGCATGATTGTGTCACGGGAAACTGGGTCGCCCTTCCATTCGACTGAAACAGGTGAGAGAGAGTTCTTTTTGAGTTTTTTTTAAGGCGATGTTCTACAGTTATTAGGCGAGGGGATAAGTTAAATTTTTTCACAAAATGTAAATGCAGTGCTTTTTTTTTAAATAGAAAAGAAAATGAAAAATAAAAATTGAAATTGAGAGACAGAGAGAGAGAAAAAAAGGTGGGGGCTGAAGGAAGAAGATGGGGAGAGAGGCAGCGCCCCAACATGGGCCCCGTGCCGCCGTCTTCAGGCCGGTCTGGTCTAGTCCCTTTATGACCGATGTCGTTCGCCACTGCGGGACCGGCACTGTATGGTGTGTCCACAAGGGCGGGCGCTGTTTGCGTGTGCGCGCATAAGAGCCTGTTTGACGTGCGTGTGCGTGTGCGTGCGTGTCTGTGTACATGCGTGGGTGTGTTTTCCGGTAAAGGATTCATGCACGACCATAAAAGCAAATGACAGTGGCGGCAGAGGGACTGCCGGTCGGCACGACACGGTCCGGGGCGTCGCGGGGGAAATGATTTAGAAGTTGTCGCGAATTATTGATCGGAAAGGCGCGGCCAGTCGGGCACGTTTATTACCGGCTCGCTACATGGCACCGGCCGAGGTGGCCGAGGTGGTCGCGGAGGGTCTGGGAGGCCCTCGCGCCGTCCGCTCCGCCAGCCAGGACATGCCAGGCCCACCGGAAACGCTCGCTCCCCGTGGGGCCCGCGTCGGCTCTTCGGACACGTGACGGAACACTTCAGTACACAAAAAATTCGTTTCGGGAA